CCAAATGTAGAACAAATATCAACATTTAAAAATATTCGGGCAGGCTAACCAAGAAAAAACAGAGAGGACATAAATAAATGTTAGTGGAGCACGATAGCACATGCCTGAGATTCCAGTTACTTGGGAGGTAGAGGCAAGAGGATACAGAGTTCAAGGCCAGCCTAGGCAACTTAGCAAGATCCCATCTCAAAACAAAAAATAAGAAAATCTGGGATGTTTCTCAACAGTAGAGTGCTTGGAGCGCAAAGCCTTAGTTTCAAACCACAATACCAAAAGAAAGGCAAAAGTTCCCACATTAAAAAATGAAAGAGTGCCGAATATGGTGGCACAATCTATAATCCCAGTACTCAGGAGGCTGAGACAGGAAGATGCCCATAAATTCCAGGACAGCCTAGACTACATAGTGAGTTCAAGGACAACCTGAGCAACACATCAAGATCCTGTCTCAAAAAGACGGGGCAGTGTTATAGGTAGCTGAGCTAGTTAGAAATATTATAGGCAGTCAGACAGGGCTAGGGCCTAGAAGAAGCTGGCACAGGGGACCAGATGTCTTATGACCTTGGAAGAGACACACACCTCCTGATGTGGGCCAGATCTCAAGACAGAAGACAAAACAAATGTAACCCTACCATAAGTATAAACATTAGGGATTAGGTATGGATAACCTTGAGAAGCCAGGAGTCACCATCCCAACTCTCTACCAGATGAGTCATTGATCCCTAAGAATGCTCAACTGTTACCTGACTCACTTCCCCATTCATCCCTAATTTGGTCATTTCTACTGGAACTATTAATCTTATTGGTTGATGATAGTTCTGTCCCACTTCATGCCCATCTGCCTGGAGAGGTCCCAGTTTTCCCCACCTTAGACCCACCTCACCTCATGGTTTTACTCTATAAAAATCCCTAGAAAAGACAGAATCTTTGGCAACCCACTCAGGACCCCTTGTATCTCTCTCTCTCAGACAGAAGCTTTCTTTCTCTCAATAAATATTTCTGCTCTTATCCTCCATTGTTCCTAAACTTCATTCTTTGATTTTAGAGAACATGAACTCATACTGGACAAACAATAGGTTGGGAATTTCATTCCCAATATCAGGAAGACATCATTGATGATCCTATGGACATAAAAGGAATATTATGAACAACTATATGGCCACAAATTTGATTATCAATTCTTTGAAAGATACAATCTACTAAAATTCATACAGCAAGAAAGAGGCAATCCAAAGAGGCCTGTATATCTTTTATCTGCCTTCAGCATGCAATACTAACATATACTAATAAAATTAAAACTATAAAAAAGTCAAAAATAAACAGTAGATATATTTTAAATTTTAAAAATTGAATCAGTAGTCAATATCCTTCCAAAGGAGAGAAGACTAGTCTTAGTTTCAAAACAAATGTAGATGCTGGAGTGTAGCTCAGTGTAGAGTATATATGTGTGATGTGGAAAGGCCTCAGTTTGTTCCCACCATTAGAGATGGGCATGGTGTCATGCATCTATAATCTCAGCACTGAGGAGACAGGGCAGGAGGATCACTGCAAGTTCAAGACCATCCTGGGCAACATAGTGAGTTCAAGGTCAGCCTGGACTGCACAGTGAAATTCTCTCTCAAAAATAAAATAAAATAAATAAATACCATAAACCACTTATGTATTCACCACAGAATTAAATTCTTTTGCATAAGCCTAAAAAATGTGTGTCGTAACTACATGAGAAAAAAAAAACTTCTGATCAAAGAAATCAAATATCTAAATAAATGGAGATATTCTACGTGGCTAGGAAGTATCAATATTGTTAATTGGTCTGTAGATTGCAATTCCAATCAAAATTTCAGTAAATTACCTTGTGATAATCAGCAAACTGATTCTAAAGTGTATATGGAAAAGCAAAATACCCAGAAGAGCCAACTTACACTACTCAATTTGAAGACTTAAACTATAATAATCAAGTCAGGGTGGTCCTGAAACAAAGAGATCAGTGACTCAGAACAGAAAGCTCAGAACCTGACACATACAAATAAAATTATCTAATCTTTGATAAAGAATCAAAGGTGTATAAAGGAGAAAGGATAGTTTCATCAGTAAATGATGCTGAAAAACCTGGGCTCTACATGCTAAGTAAAAACTGAACCTCAAGATCTGACACAAAACTTAACTCAAAATGGGTCACAGACCTACATAAAAACTGCAGTACAACCACTGTGAAAATCAGTATGGAGATTGCTCAAAAAAACTGAAACTAGAAATTCCATTCAACCTAGCAATTTCCTTTCCAGCTGACTTCCCAAAGGAGTTAAAGACATTATATTACAGTGATATGTGTATGCCCTTGCATATAACAGCACAATTCATAATAGCTAAATCTTGGAAAAAACCATTATGTTCATCAACACTCAAATTCTGCAAGCCCAGCTCCACTGACTGCTTGTACCAGCCTGTTTCCCAGCTTTTCTTGACTTCAACTCAAAAAACTCGGGGCACTCTGAAGAAACCAAGCAAAAAGAGCATTGTGCCAATCAGGGGTGCAGTGCAGGACTGGAGTTTTTTTTTCTTTAGAACTAAAGCACAGAGCCACCATCCATGGGGCAGATATAGCAATCATGTTGCAAAATTGGCTTTTTTTTCAAAGCTGGGTTTTGTTCTGTAGTTCAAGCTGGCCTTGAACTCAGGGTGATCCTCCTGCCTCAGCCTCCTGAGTGCTGGGATTACAGGCATGTGCCACCATGCCGGGCCCCAAAATTGGCTTTTAAATGCAACTAATACAAAAGTGTTCTTTCTCTCTCTGTTGCTCTTTCTCTCTTCCCCTCCTTCCCTCTCTTGTTCCTTTTCTTTTATTTATTTTGAAGAGAATAAAACCAAATGAGACAAAACAAAATGGAGTCAGTCAAAACAAAAGGATGGACATAGTACATGACTTAAACCCAAAATGCAAGATGATCAACAATGGTTACCATAATGTCTCTTGTCATCTTCAATAGAATTGCCCATATCATCAGGTATAATAAAATTGAACAAAACAGTACAGAACAAAACCAATAAAAACAAAACATTGTAGACATTACAGGGCTTCAAAAGAAGATAATAGTCAAGTCAGAATGGGTATCATAGTGAATTTTATTGTCTTCAAAGTAGTTGCCTATACTCTCAGACTTGATGCTATCAAACAAAACAGATTTGAATAAAATCAGTCAAAACAAGACAGTGATCAAACAAAACATTCGAATAACATCAGTCAAAACAAGACAGTGAAAGCAATACAAGACTTCAAATTAAGTTAATAAGAAATCAAAAATGGTTACCATAGTATATCCTGCTATCTTTGGAATAGCTGTCCATGCCATCAAATCTAATACAAGAAGACAAACTGGAACAGAATATAACCAAACTAAACAGAGGGATGAAAACAATATGGTTTGGGGCTGGGGATTTAGCTCAGCACCATAAGCCCCTGCCTTGCAAGCAGGCAGTCGTGAGTTCAATCCCCGGTACTGATAAAAAAAAAAAAAAAGTAAAACAATATGGTTTTCAAATCATGCTACAAGATTAACAAGGGCCACTGCTTTCCCTTTTTAGACAATGCCTCCCCTTTCACTTTCACAAGGTGCATTGTATATTTGTACCCTACTAACTCCTTTAGTTTTCAAATTAGGAAGGCAATCTGCTATTCACCTAAATGATTCTGAAGCTTCCTTTTCTTTTTTGAAACAGGTAGTCCTCCTGCCTGAACCTCCCAAGTATATGGAACTACAGACAGTAGGTTTTCCATCAAAAACTTTGTCATTAGAAATTTTCCCAAAAGCCCGGCATGATAGTGCACACTAGTAATCTCAGCACTCAAGAGGCTTAGGCAGGAGGATCACCTCAAGAGCAAGGCCAGCCTGAAATACATAGTGATACCTTATCTTAAAAAAAGGAAGAAATTTTCTAAAATTCTCATCACAAATTATATAATTTTTCTGAATCAGTTTGGCTCTTGACCTCAGCAATGGCATTGGTTGTACATAAAATAAATCCCTGTTGTCCACTTTTTCCATTTAACATTATTTCACACAACTTCCCTTAACTTAAAAAAAAAACAAGTTTCCACGGTTTAATGAATTATTTCTTAGGAAAATCTCAGAGGCCATCAAGCTAGTGGTAGACTGGAGTCAAAATTTCCAAACAACCCTGTATGCCTTTAAAAATTCAAATCAATAGACTCAGCATTAGAGTGCTCTTTAAATATAATATATAATTAATATACACAGTGATCATTCACCATAAATTGCTGGGCCCTCTTAAGAGGGACTAATTGAAGGGACTGGGCGATGAGGGGATTCCAAAAGCCTTTTCCGGGAGCAAACTGTTGGATCTAGTTGGTGGCAGCGCGGGGCGCTAAGGATGCAGTATTTCTCTGGGCTTTGAATTTCCCTGGAGGCCATCAGGCTGCAGTCTTTAAGTGGTAGCTCACGCCTGTAATCCCAGCACTCCGGAGGCTGAGGCTGGAGGATCTTTACAAGTAACAGACCAGCCTAGGCTACAAAGTGAGCTCAAGGCCAGCCTGAACTGCACAACGAGATCCTGTCTCACAAAAAGACCAAAAATGAGAGAGAGAGAGAGAGAGAGAGAGAGAGAGAGAGAGAGAGAGAGAGAGAGAGAGAGAATGTGTGCCTTGTAAGCTAACTACATGCGCACAGTCACGCCTACGAACATATTCACACACACATATAATTATACATCGAAAGCATTCAAAATACATGCAGAATCGGCTGTTAGTCATAAGGCTAACCTGTATCCCTTCCTCCGTCCCTTGGAGCACTCCAAATTCGATCGAATTCGATCGAGGTTTAGAAAAGACATTCTCCGGCCGGGCTCGGAACTCAGGAACCTCCCTCGGAACCGAAGTGATGAGCGTACTTAGTTCCCTAGCCGGCTAATTTATGTAGTAACACACAGCCCTTTGCTTCGGCTGGATGAGCACCTCTGTCTAGGGAAGACTTTGACAACGTACCCGGAACTGTTTCCAAGGTTTCTACAGGTCTGGAATATTACTGGCTGGCGGATTCAGGGAGGCAAGGCAACGGAGGTCTTCAAAGAGTCGCCAGAGCGCCCCCTTGTCCCGCCGCTTCGGGGACACAGCTGTAGCAATGGCTCGGGTGCCCCGATCGCGCAGCCCTGATGGCGAGGCCTCGGGCTCCGGGGGAAAACGCCGCAGTGTGTCGAAGAGCCCCAAACCCAGCAAATCCTCCCGCTCCCCGCGAGGCCGCCGGTCTCGCTCTCGCTCTTGTTCTCGCTCTGGGGATCGGAATGGCTTCAGCCATCAGCTAGGTGGCTTCAGCCAAAGCTCTCGAAAACAGTCGTACCGCTCCCGCTCGCGATCGCGCTCCCGAGAGCGACCCTCTGCGCTGCGAAGTCCCCCCTTTGCCTCTGCTTCATCCGCCTATTATGGCGCCTACTCGCGCCCCTACGGGAGTGACAAGCCGTGGCCCAGCCTCCTGGACAAGGAGAGGGAGGAGAGCCTGCGGCAGAAGTGAGTGAGGGAGCCACGCCTTCCTATGTGGGATCCCACCTGTCCGCGCTGTCGGTTTTATTCTGTCTTTGACGATTCATTCTGTCTGACGGTTCATTCTGTCTTTGACGATTCTCTTGGCATTTCGCCCACTCTACCTTGCCTCCAACCCATTTTCATCCCTTTCTTCAGCCCACCCACGACCACCTTACATTCATCTTTTTCTTCCTTTAAATTTTCATTACGCCACGGGGCTCTTCCTACATATTCTGGCTTCCCGACACCCCTTTCCCATCCCCACCCGCACCCCCACCCCTACCCCCGGGTTAGCAGATAATCGCTAGGAGCCCAGCTGTATCAGAATTGTACCATGTACATTACTTGGTCGGTTACTGTCATTTGTGTGCATCGTTTTATTCCTCACTAAGCTGAACTAAAAAGGAGAGATTTATGGATCACAGAATTCGTAGTACCTATTGTAGGAAATTGGGAAAGGTTGAAATTAAAGGTTTGAATTGGTGAGGAGGGAAAAACGGTCCCATCTCACAAGATCATTAGATGAATGTGGGAAGTGATCAGCTGAGCTATAGATGAAGTTTCCTGACAAAGGTCCTGTTATGTGGTCGCAATCTCAACCTTGAAAAATGATGCCAGCGTGAGATCAGATCTTCTCTGAAAGTGAATATTGGAGCAGGAACGTGCATAGTTTAAGGAAAAAGGAAGAGGCTTGTAATTATTGCTATATGAGTCATATCTAATTTCACTAAGTGTTAGGCATTGTACTAAGCCATGCAATATATGTTTTAAAAACAAGAAAAGTTAACAAGTATTATAGGTATTGAGAGACAGGTTACAGATCTTCTCTGAAAGTGAATATTGGAGCAGGAACGTGCATAGTTTAAGGAAAAAGGAAGAGGCTTGTAATTATTGCTATATGAGTCATATCTAATTTCACTAAGTGTTAGGCATTGTACTAAGCCATGCAATATATGTTTTAAAAACAAGAAAAGTTAACAAGTATTATAGGTATTGAGAGACAGGTTAAAGTTCCAACAAAGAGATGATTTTGTGATTCTTTTTCTTGCAGCTGTGGGAAATAATAAATTATGGTGATGAGAAGGGCAGGTCCCACAATTAGACTGAGTTTAAATCCTTTATTGGCCACTTTATTTGCTTTGTTGCCTTGGGCAAGTTACTTAACTTCTCTGAGCTTCATTTCTTTTTGTTTTGTTTGTTTTTAGTTTTTGGTTTTGGTTTTTTGAGACAAGGTCTTGCTGTGTAATCCACACTGTGCCTTGAACTCACTATGTAACCCAGGCTGGCCTCTAACTCTCAGAGACCCTCCTGCCTCAGCCTCCTGAGTTCTTGGGAGCCATCACACCTGGCTTCCAAACTTCATTTCTTCGCCATTAAAAAGGAAATAGAGGGGCTGGGGATTTAGCTCAGCAGCATAAGCACCTGCCTTGCAAGCAGGTGGTCGTGAGTTCAATCCCCAGTACCGATAAAAAAAAAAAAAAAAGGAAATGGGATCTGGGGGTGTAGCTCAGTAGTAAAGTGCTCATCTAACATACTCAAAGTCCTCAGAGCTGGATTCCATGCCCAGCAACAAAAAAGGGAGGGGTAAAATTAGTATTTTAGGCTTTTAGAGTTGTAATAATTTAGTGCCTAGAATATAAAGATTCCATAAATTTTAGCTGGCATTGCTTCATGAATAAGACCAAGAACAGTAACAAACCCATAAGGTTTTACTTACCTTTCAGATGGGTGTGGTGGCACACACCTGTAATCCCAGCACTCAGGAGGCTGAGGCAGGAGGATAACTGCCAGTTTGAGACCAGACTGGGCTATATAACCGAGTTTGAAACCAACCTGTACTACATCTCGAGACCCAGTTTGCAAAACAACTATCTTTCCAAGTAAAATTCAGAAAGGTACTCACAGAGTATATTCATGAAAAAGCCAATGGCTTACAACTGAATCATCACCAAAAAACATCAGAACTGCTTGGATGAAATTTGCAGTTAGAATTCAGAGGATAATTTATCTTTACAGATAAAACCAGATGGCAGCAGGTAGTATAGGACTGTAAATTTTACAGTTGCTATTCTTCTCCCATATGCCTTTATTGCAAATATAGTTATAAGTGTGTCCTTTTTAGATAATCTATTTCTTCTAAGTGGGAAAGTTCTCCTGAATAAAATAAAAATGTCAAACCAATTATATTTATTTTGTAAGGCTTTTTAAAGACAAATAGAGTCACAAGCAGCCAAATGTTAACCAAACCTTAGGGATTTGGGGTTTGTCTTGTTTTACTTTATAAACAATAGCAAAATTTAAAATGAGGAACTACAAACATTGTAAAAGAAAAACAAAATTACTATCCTCCAAAGAGTAAAAATGTATTCCTTTTCTTAAAAGGAGAGAACAAACCTCATATCAGGCTGAATACAATTTTTATCAAATGAATTTTTCTTTCATTTTCAGAACTCTCTTTTCTACTTCTAAAGCTACCTTTCTATTTTATTCCTAGATTCCTAAAAACTGAAGGCTTGACAACATCAAAAAAGACTTCTTTTCTAATCTTGTATAAACAAATGAAATTATTTCCAAATGTAAAGCGGTTTTCTGTCACTTATTACAGACAATGAAATGAGCAGTTAGAATCTGTGTCATGCAGTTGGTACAAGGGATGCCCTTGACAGTCTCCCAGGCTGTCATTTCTGACCTCATCATTGAGGCTGTGTATAGTTTGTACCATTTGATGGTATTCTCAGAGCATCAAATCCTAAGCAATGAGATTCTATTTAAAGCAAGTTTTTGTTAACTTTTAAAATGTACAAGGAAAACCAGGAAGCTGAGGCAGAAGGATCTCTTCAGGAATTTGAGTGAAGCCTGAAAAACAGGAAAAACCCACCTCAAAAAAAAAAAAGAAAGAAAAGGAAAACTATAGGAAAAATAGACTTAACTGGAATCCTGCTGAATTTGAATATATATATAATATTTAGGAGATGTTCGGTAGATTTATAATTTAAATATTTATATCTTCTAGGAGATTAAGTGAAAGAGAAAGGATTGGTGAATTGGGAGCTCCTGAAGTATGGGGACTTTCTCCAAAGAATCCTGAACCAGAGTAAGTGGTTTCAAAATATCTTATAAAAATATGTTACAAGCCAGGCACCGTGGTGGACACCTGTAATGCCAGCACTCCAAACACTGAGGCAAGAGGATCGCTGTGAGTTCAAGACAAGCCAGGGCTACAAGTAGTTGGTTTAAGGCCAGCCTGAAATACATAGCAAGCCCTTTTCTCAAAAAAAAACATGTTAGAACAATAATTTTAACACCTGAATGTACTGTGAAAATTTTTGTTACAAAAGGAACTTTACATCTCATTGTTTTTCTTCTTTCATGTGAATTATGCTGTTCTAATTCTGAAATTTTAAGAAATCTGGAACATAGCTAAGGATTAAACATGTTGCTGGAAAGAGAACTAAAAAGAATTAAGATGTGTTACGTACAAGTACCAACTCCTCATGATGAATGTAATCACTACATATTGCAAACATACACGAATAGAAATTTTAATTAAAAATTAATAAAATGTTGCTAGTGAATTTTAGTACACTTATTATTCTCTTTAAATTGTAACTCATGGGGTACTAATTTGCTACTTGTAGAAATATCAATGGGCTGGGGATTTAGCTCAGTGGTATAAGCCCTTCTTGACAAGCACGAGGTCATGAGTTCAATCCCTGGTTCCCCCCCCAAAAAAAAAAGAAAAAAGAAATATCCAATGTTCAAGTAGTATGTTTATATTATTTTGAATTTTTTTCTCAGCTCAAGAACAGATTGCACAAAAAGACTTTTGTAAATGAGTATACAATATGATTTAATTTAGTTCATTTTCCTATGTCCTATACTATCTGAAGTGGAATGCTTTTTTCCTCTTCTTTTGTTATTGGTTTGCTTTGCTTTGGTTTTTATAGTGATAAGGATTCAACTCAGAGCTTCACACATGCTAGGCAAGTGCTGTGCCACAGAGGCACACTCCTAGCTGCTTAGTTGGTTATCGTTTATGCTACTCCTAAATTTCTGCTTCCCTTCCCTGAATTTCTGTGTCTCCTTTAAGTTGAAACAGTATGCTTACCATATATTACTAATTTATTATAGGATAATAAAATAGTATCATCCAAAACTTGTTCTTAGAAACACTTTTGGGGGGAAGAAAAACAATACCTTTGGAAAAGCCTTGAAAAACATGAACCCATAGAATTAGAGTTGGAATAAACCCTAAAATGAATTTTCTCAACAGTCTCTAAATTATTCCATCTGTGAGTTTCAGGGTAAACAACTGTATGCTAACTTCCCTTTGGGTCTATTATAGATTCTTAATAAAATCCAGTTTCGGAATTCTCTGAAAAAGAATGCAATCTATTTAGACTGTAGTTTGTTTGAGTCTCCATGTTCTGGTGAGACTAAACAGTTGCTGCTCTGTCATTTGTCTTTTACAAACTTAGAATAAACTCATGGGGTTGAGGATGTAACTCAGTGATAGAGGGCTTGCTAGCAGGGACAAGGCACTGGGTTTGATCCCCGTTGCTGCCCAAAAAATGAGTAAAATCCTGACATCATCCAGTTTCTTCACCTTTCAGTTTCTTGCATCTTCCCTTATGATTCTGATTTGTCTATTTTTGCCTGTGATTTCTTATGAAAATATAAATCATCCGTGCTGCTATAGCATTATGCAAATGTAAGTTATATTATTATGAAGATATAAAACCTTGATATATACTCTTAGAAAACTGATTCATTGCTTGCTCTGTTCTTGGACAATCAAGACTGTAACTGAAAAATTTTAAGGCCATGTCCATATTCAGTGCTTCATATTTCACCACTTTTCTAATTGTTACAACCATTTTCTTTAAATTCAGCTCTGATGAACATACACCAGTAGAGGATGACGAACCAAAGAAAAGCACTACTTCAGCATCTAGTTCAGAAGGTATTTTTAAATATACAACTTTCTAATTGATGAGTTTAAAAGGTAAGTTTATCTTCCCAGCATTTAGAAAGCTAAGGCAAAAGGATTGCTGCATATTCGAGGCCAGCCTGGGCTCCATGGAGAGTTCAAGGTCAACCTAAACTACCTAGTGAGACCCTATGTAAAAAAATTAAGTTTATAAATAGTTGAACAGTAGGCTTTGCTTCTACTCAAGTTCTCAATCATCTGTTCTTCCATATTTCAAATACAATACAGTTGATGTTCACAAATACTTCTTTAGAAGTTAGGGATATATATATATATATATATATATATGTATGTATGTATATATATATATATCTGTATATTTACAGATGAAAAGAAGAAAAGGTCTACTCATTCAAAAGAAAGGTCCAAGAAAAGGCGAAAAAAGAAATCATCTAAAAGAAAACACAAGAAATATTCTGACGATAGTGACAGTGACTCTGATTCTGAAACAGACTCCAGTGGTAAGAAAGCCAGTGTCCTCTGCAAGCCTGCCTCAGCTCTATTTTACTTTGTGGAAGTTATTATAGAAGAGCGTTCTTAGAACAGGAGTGGCCTGAAGTTTCCAGACGCTTGTTGACTTTGTGCCAGGGACCCTGCTAAGTGCCTCCTGCTCATTATTGCTCTTTCATCCACACAAAAGCATCTCACGCATAGGACACAGAGGCACAGAGCAGCCCATCAGTCCACACCTGAGGTCCCAGTTGGGCTTCGGAGCGAAGCAAAGTGACTGCAGACTGGCTCTGTGTGGTCATGCGGGGAACCTGGCCCCAGACCAGCTCGGGCGTGGGCTGCGGGACATGGCGACAGAGCACAGCCCCAGGCTGGGGCTCCTGTGTGCGACTCTCATGCCCAGCAGGCACCTCTGGATAATGCTTCAAGGGAACCTAAAGGGCCCCCTGCAGGCTGACCACCACCTGACTCAAGGCGCCGAATTTGGGGAGATGTATTCCAACAAGCCCCACTTTTATTTCTCTTCTTACAGTATTATTTTCATATTTCTCCAATTGTACTTGCAAAACTCATGTTTTATGCACCCTCCTGACTGATGGCTGACCAGAGGGTGCCTCCTCTGCGGTTGACGCGGGATACAAAGGTGCCTCCTTCTCTGATGTCTCCTAGGTTTCCTGGTCCCCCTGCTGTCACTTTCCTTCCTCATCGATGGGAGACTGACCTCTCTTAAAGCATAAATCCAGGGGTGTCAGTCCCTTCTTATTTCAGTTCTTCAACAGGCCTCCATAGCCTGCAGAGTGGAGTTCAGACCCTCCATGACCCCTCTCTAGTTACATACTCCCTGCCCCTCTCCCTTGCACTGTCCTCGACTACTCTGGGTCTCCTCAGGACTCCATGTGCTTTCCCCTGGCCCTGTCCTTTGGTCAGAGGGCCTTGCCCTCACTGCCAGCCTCTCCCGGCATCCAGCACGGCTTCCTCACTGTAGCAATGGGCATGCATTGCTTTTGTAATAAAGTGACTTTAAACAGAACTAGCTCAAGTGTCACCTTTTCTTGATCAGCCATTCCCCACCCATCCCATCCACCTCAAATCAGCCTGGTTTTGAGACTCTTGTGTTTGCCCACAGAGTTCCATGCACCCCTCTGTCACTCTGGATAGTATGTGTCTCTTTACCAGTCTCTGTCCTTGGCTAAGCTGAGCTGGAAAACATTCTCCCCCATACCTCAACATGTTTCCCCTTTTTAAAATAAAAGTGTTCAAACATTCAGCAAAGTAATGAAAATAACAGTTATTATATTTAATACTATATACTTACTCAGATTTAACAGTACTTTTGACATATTTGCTCCAAGTGTGGGTTTTTTGGTGAGACAGTCTAAATTGCAAGTATGTTTTGATCTTAAGTATTTCTGTATCTTTAAAAATTAAAGACATACTCCTACTTAAAGACAGTACTATTATCCTATGCAGTGACATTAATAATACTATATCATCTAATAACTTATGTGACTTTAAGCCTAGTGCAGTTTCTGCCAACTTGCCATAAATATTAGAATGAATTCATTTTTCTGTGACAATTGGGATATCCATAGGATTTTTATCTATTCAAAAATATTGAGGTTTTAGAATTTTAAATTATTTCCCTGTTGGTGACTTCTAGAAAAAAATTTTAAATTATTTTTCAATTATAATGTGCTTTAATTGCAGATGAAGATACAAAAAGGAGAGCAAAGAAAGCTAAGAAAAAGGAAAAGAAGAAGAAACACAGATCGTCAGTTTTTTTGTTATTTTATGGAAAAGTTAAAATGTGTATAAAATTACATTAAATAGTATAATGCCCTCTGTACCCACCACCCACTTTGAGTAATTATCAACTCGTGGGTTGTACTCTGGTAGTTATTTTGAAACCAATCCCAGATAGCATTCCATCCATAAGCAATTTAGCACTATTCTCTGCTCGGCATTCTTTAAAAGCAAACCAAAAAATAACCCTTATGCTGCTGTCATGCCTAAAATATTTAATAATAATTATTCAATTCTCAGTAGCTTTTCTACAGCTCATTCAAATGAGGATCCTTATCATGTCCCTAAATTGCAATGATTGTCTTTAGCATGTTCCATTCTCTGTATTTCCCATAGAGTGATAAGTCTCAAGGCTTGCCAATCCAGATTCGAGTTTTGGGCAGCAACACCGCATAGGTGGTACTGTATACCTCCATCAGAAGACAGACAATGTCTGGGTATTTCTTTTTGCCATTTTAACAGCCATTGATGTTATTTCATGAGGGATTGCAAAATGGTGATACTCTAACTCTAGTTTGCCTTCTTCATTAATTAGATAGAATAATTCTATAAGAGAAACTCATCAATGATTTAAATACCTAGAAATACTGTTTGTACAGGAAGAGCAAGAAGGTTAGGAGTATAGTTCAGTGGTGATGTTTATCTAATATACATGAAACCCTGGGCTTCATCCTCAGCACTACAAAAAATTTAATAGTAATAAAATTAAAATTCTTTAAAAAGGCAAAGCAAGAAATGAGTATTACTTAATTTTTCAGTTTTATGAGTTTCAAAGTAATGAATTGTATTTTTTAGTATTAGAAGCTTGAGGACTTAAACATATTTGACATGTTTTACTCCCTTACACTCAAAATTATTAATGTACAAGTTGGTAAGAGCTGCTTTAATCCTTTTATTTCTGTTGTCATTCTACACTATAAGAATTGTATTTCATTGTTTAGGGATTTTTTTAATTGTGAAGCATGATTTTAAGTGTTAGATCTTTTAGTTAAAATTCTTCTCTAAGGGCCGGGGATTTAGCTCAACGGCATAAGCGCCTGCCTTGCAAGCACGTGGTCGTGAGTTCGATCCCTGGTACCAAAAAACAAAAAAAAAAAAAAGTTTAAAAAAAATGCTTCCCTAGCAAGTTTCAATAAGATGGGAATTCAGATTATTTTCATTGCCTTAAAAAAATTAAGATACTCCTTAACAAGAGGATATTAAGTGAATTTGTATCAATTTATAATCCCTACAGGAAGAAATACAAGAAAAAGAAGACTAAGAAGACCAGAAAAGAGTCCAGTGATTCAAGTTCTAAAGATTCCCAAGAAGAATTTCTGGAAAATCTCTGGAAGGATCGATCAAGTAAGTTCACCTGATAACCTTTAACTTAAAACAGACAAGTAATTAAATGATTAAATCTTTATGTGTTTCTGAACATTTTTCACGCAGAGATTGAAGAACCGTCAGATTTAATTGGCCCAGAGGCTCCAAAAACACTTGCGTCTCAAGATGATAAACCTTTAAAGTAAGTAGAACTGTACTTATAATATCTAAAGTAACTTCCAAAACGGTGGCCCTAACTTGCCTTGCCAAGCTTATCTCCCTCTGCTTCCTTATTGGTACCCTGGCTTCCTAATGAGCCAGAACACTAACAGTGCTTGCTGTGCACTTTCCCATTCTTCTTCCTTGTTAAGCTTGTTTCTTACCCCAGCATGCCTTGCCTGTTCCTGCCCTGTGTGCTCTACCCTCAGTTTCTTCCTGTTAAAATTGTTCAGTAGCCTTCAAAGCCCTTTTCAAAAGGAGAGAGATACACTAATTCCTAGTACTACCCCTCATGATTTCTACTCCTCTTTAATCCTCAGCACTGTATATTGATTCTATGCAATGTATGTTTTAGCTTATACTGCATCTATATCTTATTACTAATAAAACTCCACAACAGATTATTTTTATATTACAAATTCTGAGTTTAACAAGTAAGTAACAAACGTTCATTGAATTGTATAAAGGGATAATAGCTTTTAAAGTCTCTTTGAATCAAAGGTAGTAGATAATTGTTACTGTATAGAATTCTTATTGGCTATAAGTAAAAGATATGTCAATTTGAGATATCTTACTTCTTTAGGGGTTTTTTTAAGAGAAAAGGAGAAAAGAAATGAAATGGAGGCAGAAGCAGTAATGGCAGTACCCAGGGATGAATTAACCATCTGTTATAAGCTATATATCTACACACACTAATGTCAGTTCTTCCAAATTATTTTTGCATTTCTCAGTTAGTAATGTAGGTCATAGTGCAATGTTTGCTATTTAAAATGATTCACAATGGATTTCCTACAGTGGAACACTACTGCCCAGTACTAGTATTCCTCTTTTTATCAGAAAGAAAATGGTTTGTGCAGTCTTTAGATGATGAGCTTTCTGTGTTGTAGTTTAATGGACCTTTTCTGAATTCTGAATTACTTTGTAGTTATGGCCATGCTCTGTTACCGGGTGAAGGTGCAGCTATGGCTGAATACGTAAAAGCTGGAAAACGTATTCCACGAAGAGGTGAAATCGGGTTGACAAGTGAAGAAATTGCATCATTTGAGTGTTCGGGTTACGTAATGAGTGGTAGCAGGTATGTTCTTGGCATGGGGCTCAGTTCTATGATTAGACTTTTCCTTCTTCCTATCAGAATTCTATTTTGGTGATTGACTTTCATTAAGTCACTATTTATAATGAAAAGTAGAAAATGAATACTTGTTTGATTTTGATTTTTTGATATAAACATATATGGCTAAAATCTCAAGTATATATGAAATTTAGCTTCAAAGTTAATGATATCCCCAACTTCAAGGAATCAGTATTTCTTTGTACTTTCATACAGTGAAAAATGTAAGACATTATTGAAAGACATTAAAGACCTAAATAAGTAGAGAGATAATATATTCATAGGAAAAAGACAATACTATAAAGCTGTCAATTCTTTCCAGAATGATCCATAGATTCAATAAAAATCCAGTGTTTCATAAAACTCAATAAGCTGGTTCTAAAATGTATTTGTTACAAAAGACCAAGAATAGTCAGGGTTTTTTGGGTAGTTGGTTTATTTATTTATTTATTTGCAGTAATGGGGATTGAACTCATGGTCTTTGCACCAAGCTAAGTCTCCAGGTCTTTTTTTTTTTTTTTTTTTTGAGACAGGGTCTCACTAAGTTGCCCAGGTGCCACCCAAGTGTCGCTCAGTTTAGCAAGGTCATTTCTGAAGAAGAGTAAGGAAGGTGAGATTTGCCTTACCACAGATAAGAACTTACAAAGCTTACAGCATTTTAGGAAGCATAAACAACCAAATTACTCAATGAAGTAAAATACTTCCTGTGTACTTTCTCAGCTCATATTTTGGCACAGACATTTTGTCCACTGAAACAAAGTCATTTCTTTATCTTAATCCCACAAAGAATGTGGCATTTTGGTTTTAAAGCACTGGGGGATATAGTTCAGTTTGAAGTCAAGGACAGCTAGATCATTATGAAACTTCAATTGTATGAATGAGATAGGATATTAGAACAGTGGAGAAAAAAGAAGCCATTGAGTGAAGGGCAAATGGTTATCCATGTAGAAAAAGATGAAAGTAGGACCCAAACTCACCATATATGAGGCTGTGCAGCTAAATTAAGAGCTGTAGGAGCAGCTATCTTTAGACCTTGGAGTAAGGGTTTGCCAAAGAAAACAAAAAACTACCCTAACCATAAAATAAAGTATTGCCAGGCATGTGGCACATGCCTGTAATCTAACACTCAAGAGGCTGAGGCAGGAAGATTGCTGTGAGTTTAAGGCCAACCTGGACCACATAGGGTTCAAGGCCAGCCTGAATTACATAGTGAGACCTTCTCTCAAAAAATAATAAAGTATTGAGAAGTTTGCCTAGGCTAAAAATAAGAACTCATGTTTATCAAAAGACACATTAAAAAAAAGACAAGTTCCATGGTGTGATAAGACCTCGAAATACACACAACCGATAGAGTTAATACTGAATATATTTAAAGCATATCTATAAGTGACACAAAAGAAAATGGAGAAATGATCAAACAGGCATTTTTCAGAAGAATAAATACATATGGCCTATACATACATAAGAAATATTCTTTATTATTAAGAATAGAAATCAAGAACTTAGTAAGATACCATTTTATACCCATTTGATAGGGAAATTTCATATAGTGCCAAGCTGAAGCGGTATGGATACACAAGCTCTCTTAAATAGTGCTAGTAATGGTATACATTGGTACACTTTGGAAAATAATTCGGCAGCTTCATATCAGAGTACCCAAGAGAAAAAACTTTCACATATACCAGGAGACACAGGTATGGAAGTTTGTAATAGTATCTTTCATGTAGCACTTTCTCCCAAGCACTAAGGCCCAACCCTGATTAGCTTCCAAGATCAGGCGAGCCAGGACACGATCAGGGTTGTAGGACTGAAGATTCATGTGGCCCTTTCTGTGCCAGGTAAACTGTTTACAATACTCACTTCCCCAGAGCAACCTAAATATATCATGATTTTAGCCAGGTTGGTAGCACACACCTGTAATCTCAGCACTCATGAGGCTGAGACTGAGGCAAGAGGATCACTGTAAGTTTGAAGACAGCCTGGGCTACATAGAGAGACCTTGTCTTAGCCAAAACCTAAATAAATACATACATATGTAGTTATATATTCATTTTGTGTCTCCCATCTTGACTTCCTTGCCTTCACACTAATTTGAATTGATTCTCCCCTCTTTTCCTTACCCAGATTTTTCTGTTTTTCTCGAAATAGCTCAAGCTTCTTGAATTGATTCTGTAGGACTCAGTACATGTATACAAGAAAGACAGGATTTACCCCTAAACAGACCTTTAGAACGTAATCTAGTTTCCCTCTGTCTCTACTGTTATGCTTTAGTAATTTGACCCTTGTATGAAATCCTTTCTGACTTTTCTTTGAACCCCTACTGGATTCTAAAGAAGTTAAACCTAACCCTAGACTCCTCTTCAGTTATGGATTAAGACTTGGTTCTTTTGGTTGGATTGGTAAAGCAGAACCTTAAAGAAATGCCACTTGATTGATTGATGGAAAATTAAATCTCTCACCTGTCCTGCTGTCAGCTCCACATAAACAAGTGGACATATTGCCTAGGAAGTTTAATAACTTGACTTCTGATTGCTTTACTGGAAATAATCAAACTGCTCTTATGCCTTAGCATTTGAAATTCATAACATTCAGTATGTTGACAGAGTTTAAGAGATCATGTTTGAATACTAGGAATGAATCAATCTTTTGATAACTTAGCTCATTTCAAAGAGCTTCTATGCGTCAGCTTTTAAGCTGACCATCCTGTATTAAGAAATGATTAATGAGGACAATCTATGAGAATAATTACTGAGAAATTAAGCTAAAAATGACATTATCTCCAGGCATCGTCGAATGGAGGCTGTACGACTGCGAAAAGAGAACCAGATCTATAGTGCTGATGAGAAGAGAGCACTTGCATCCTTCAACCAAGAAGAGAGACGAAAGAGAGAGAACAAGATCTTGGCCAGTTTTCGAGAGATGGTATACCGAAAGACCAAAGGGAAGGATGACAAATAAGCATTTTCTAATCATTCAGCAGACATTTTTCATAACAAAAAGCAGTCTGGTTCTACACATATACAAAGATTATTGTGCTCTGAAAAAGCTTTACAGTGCACTGTGCCTTCTATTTAATTATTTTAGGCCTTCAATAAAAAAGCTGCTTATTGATAATAACTTTAGTAAATTACTTGGGTTAATTTGGATTGACCTAACATTCTGGTTTTAAAATTCAAATTATGAATGAAATCCTACTGTATTAGGGGAGGTGGCATGGGGAGAAAGTGTCAGTAAGAAAGATCAGAAACTTAATCTTACGCTGAGGTTCAGTGCTCCAATTCACTCTACACAATGCCAACCCCACCCCAACTAAGCTTGAGGGAAATTATCATCCCTTTTTGTTGAAAGTGTTATGAATGGACTTGATAGAAACTACATAGGAGGTTAATGTTAAAATGAAATCTTTGCTTAAAAAAAGCAAGTCTGGATTTGAAAGCTGACTTTTCAATATATATTTTGCTTTCAGTTCCTACCTGTCCTCTAAAACCAACCAACAAGACAAAAAGTAAATTAATCCATGAAATTGTTGAACCGAAAATGTAAACAGATGGTGTTTTAAATTGATAATAATTCACTTAAAGATCACTCAGGGGCTGGGGATACACCTCAAGAAAAAAAGTACTTTGAAAAATAGTCTTAGGTGTTGCTGCACCAGTGTAAAGTACCTTATTTCTATTTAACCTATACTTTAATAATAGGATAATATCTGAAAAAAGAGTGAGCATCAACTATAGTCAAGAGTGCTGATAGGGAAAATATGATGAGTTAGTATTTTAGTTGTTTCATAAGATCAAATAAAAATATTATTAACCTTTTTTTTGCAGCACTAGGGATTAAACCCTGGAGCTCTACACTGAGCTACATCCCCAGCCCTTTCTATTTTTTTGAGACAGGGTCTTTCTAAGTCACAAAGTTGCTCAGGCTGTGCTTCAACTTGTGATCCTCTCATCTCAGCCTTGATATTAAACATTTTTAAACTTTGTCCTATATATAATAAAAGGATCTAGTTATAAACACTGTTAAATCTTTCATTTTTTATATCTCTCATTCAGTTTGTTAACTTTGTACAAAACCCCCTCACATTATCAAATTTTTGGAAAGTGCAAATGGTAGAACTGTGAGATCATAGTCTTTTTCCTTTTCTTATTTTTGTTCACTTTAATTACGTCACAAAAATGAAGGCAGAGGGGGACAGTTGAAGTTTTGGCTGTTTTTGTTAAGGTTGGAATGTTGTTTCAGTCTCCATTATTGTTACATACATAATTACTCAGTGACAGGAAAATTCTAAAATGTCCTTCTTACAGTTTGAAGTGGTATTTGTTCAGTTTTTAAATAAGGCACTCATATTTCAAGTACTGAGCACAAATGTTTCTACTCAACATATATTCTTGGAAAATGTCTACCTTTAATCTACAACTACTAAACAGTAGTCAACATGTAGCAACATTTGTGACCCTTGAACTAGAGGTGATTTATCCCGTCTAGCCTACTAAACCTGTAGTTTCCAAAGGTCACAATGAGACTTGTGAGTCTTAGTCCATCTACTTCTGTGTGTAATAAAACCTAAAGTTTATAGTCTGCACTTATAAAAATTTTTTTCTCTAAGGGAATTTTTGTTGCTGGTTCCTAGAGACTAAAATAGTATATCCTTTTATTTTTAGTAGGCAAGGTACTGTAAATGCAGCAATTCTGCAATACATATATGAATATTCAACAGATGTTTATTGAGTAAATGAAATAAAATGTATTAAATTATTTGAGACTTACCATTTTTTTCATCAGGGTTTGTTTGGGAAATATCTATGAAACAATTGCATCAGTAGCATATTCTTTAGGAAAGAGGAAGGGAGAATAAAAAGATTTAAAGTGTTTTATTTCAGCTTATGAGACTACTTCAAAACCATGTTTTGTCACCTGAACCATAAGTCAAATGGTAGGGTTAGGGTTATTGTGTTTCAAAGATATTTTTCTGTACTTCTAAACTTACCTAGTTTATCACCTCCTTGCCTATCACACCAATAGGATTTTTTGCTTCCTTTTAATTTATTGCACATATATGAGTTTTTAAAAAGAAAATTACAGTCCTGCCATATAAATCGCTAATATTCTGTGGTTTGTTTACGGTGTTTGTCTAAGTAAATATGTATTCTAATGTACTTGTAAGTAACCACTTTGAGTGTAATGTAAATTTGTCTTTAGTGTTTTTAAATTTTTCAGCTAGGTAAAGGACTCTAGGAAAGATAGAAACAAGTGATGGTCTGAAACTGAGGATGGAAAGACTAGAAATAAGGAAAGGTACTGATTGAATCATTGCTGTTTCATTGCCCCCAGTCCTCAAGCATCCCTGCTTCCATCACAAGTGTCATGGTGTGTTATAGAAGGTGGCATGCCAGGTATCAGAGTATTAGAATATACTGTTTAGCAGTAAGGCCAACTCACAGTAAATAAAGTGATCTGTGACATGGGCAGCCCTTCAGACTGGTTATATTATGAGCTGTAGAACTTTTGTCATTTTTTTGTTCCCCAGTTGTGCTCATAGGGTCTGTCTGGAGTGGAGTCTTAGGCATAGATTGGGGAACAGTCAGCCAAGAACCAAGCATGGTTTGGTCTGACAGGTGAATTTTAGCAACTCTATAAACTGAGCTCTGTATTTATAAGACTTAAAAAATGATGCACAGTGATGGGAAAAACCTTTTAGAAAATAGAAAATGACTCTGCTAATGTGATAGAAGTTGCAGAATGGAAAATGAATGAATGCGAAAAATACAGTTGGGTTATATGCCACAAGTTTATTCAATAAATATTCTGTGGTTTGATGTGCTATATTGTATTTTTAACATGTTCTTATTAGAAAAACAACCCGAAAATATCCTGTAGATATCAGGTATTTAAATAGGTTTTGACTGAATTTAGTAAAATATGTTTGGCCTCAATTATGTTCATCAGCATTCCTTCTTGAAAGAAGATCGATTCTGGTCTATAAAGGAAATACACAAATATACTAAAAATTTCTGGAAATTGTTCAAAACATTTAGTCAGGGAATTCCTTCCTTACTCTGTTACATCCCTAGTAAGCAGAAAAGGTAGAGGATGGAGTATTGACTGAGAAGAGATGGCCTGGGGTCTAGCTATTCTTTTTCATGCCTTAGGCCTAATCAATAAAGGATTAATGAGCTTGCATTTAAAGAGTCTAAGAGGCTCTTTAAAAGAGAGAGATTTAAAAAGAGAGATTCTAGCCAAATAAGAGGGATTTTTATACATAATATTGAAGTTTCATGCAGAAACAACAAACATGAGCCACTTTACCCCCTACTCTACTCCAACAACTAATCCTCAAGCTTATGATTACTGGAGAAACAGGTACTAAGTAAAAAAAAAAACTTTGTAAAACAATGGCAAAATCATACTTTCAGCCCATTCTAATGGGGCAGGTGGTCCAAAAAAGATAAGTGACCATTATATGAATTATCTGTGCCTGTGTACTTGCTGTATTCTTGGAGTATGATGACCTTTCCTCCACTCTTTTGATACAAATCTCCCCAAAATATAAAATAAATCTCCCAAGAGTCAGGCATGATGGCACACATCTTTAATCCTAGCATGCAGGAAGCTGAGGCAGGAGGATCCCCGTGAGTTTGAGGCTATATGGGCATATATATGTATATATGAATTCAATATATGTGAATTCAAAACCAACCTAAACTACATAGCAAGACTCTGCCTCAAAAACAAACAAAATAATAAAATAAATCTCCAAATATTTATTACCTTTGAACTAATGCTTGGTCTTCGAATACATAAGAGACATCAATAGGTGCATCCTAAGAGAAAAACACAACCATCAGCCTAGACTAATCATGCCAACTTTTCATTTCTTCCCTCCCTGCACTTGCCCACATGTATACTTTTGGCGGGGGGGCATGAGGGGTACTGGGAATTGAACTCAATCTTGTGCTTGCCCGGCTCTCATATTCATACTCTTCAATTTCCAGAATGCATCTTCCTTATGAATTGGGAGTCTATAGGTCAAAGTTCTTTGTCACTTAAAAACTGTACTGCAAAAGATCTTTTTAACAGCAAATACCTTGGGAATCACTAAAAAACTTGGAATATGGTAGCAGAGGTTCATACTTCTCATTAATAGCACAAGTAAGTTATTGAGCTTCTTTACACACTCTCCCTTACTTAGCCAATAATCTCTATGTCTTCAAGAATGGCACCAGAAGGAAATTATAGAGATGAATAGCTTGGAAAACATTTTTATGGCAGCATAAAAAAATTGACTATAATACTATCTTGGTGGTCCCTACCCATTCTCACTTCCAAAATTATGCTTGGAATTTTGAGCAAGAGCCATTCTTCCAAAACCTGTGTGTACTGTATATGGTCTCTACTACAGTCAGTTTATGCTCACTTTTAGCAGCCTTATTTCACAGTGTGTGACCTTGCCAGTCAGCAAGATAGCTGATGGAAGAGTATACGGCCAGAATTGAACTCTGCACCTTCTGTACCTCGTTAGATGTTTCAGCAGAGAGTTTGTTCTAAGATAGGAGGAATAGTGGACATGATGGCCTCACTGACTTTGTGCTCCCTAGGTACAGCCTTAGAATCAGACCAAAGTGCAAATAACTTTTGTGAAATGATGGAAAGAAAACAGAAAATAACATTTGTATGCCTGTTATGGTCTAAGCATTATGATTGGTATCATCTCCGCTTCTCTAAGGACCCCTCCCCCTTAATTCACAGATATTATTTTGGTTCCTTTGACACTAGTCATCAAATCAATATATTCCTTATTCCTGGGCTACAAGTAGTCATTTTTTCAAATTTTTATTAAACACATACTATTTCCCAGACCTTGTTTCACAGCAAGACAAAAATCTCTACCTTTATCAAGCTTATATTCTGTTATGGGAGCAGATAATAGCAAAATAAATTATATAGAATATTAGTAGTAAAGTATTATGGACAAAAGTAGGGGATAGGATAGACAGTGCAAGTAAAGATTTTAAGGAGCAGACAATGCACATGCATAGGGGAGAGTGTTCAGGTCAGAAAGAACAGCCAGTGCAAAGGCCCTGGAACAGGTTATACCTGGCCTATTTAAGGAGTAGCAAGATCAGAGTAGCTGGAGCAGAATAAGTGAGGGTAAGTGGCCGTGAAAAAGCAGAATAACAAAGAACTAGATCACATAGCCCTTGTATATCTTTGCTACTCAAATGTAAGTCTCTGGACCTGAGCTATCAGCATTGTCTGGCAGCTTGTTAGAAATGCAGAATCCAAAGCCCTGCCCTACACCTGCTGAATCAGAATATTTTAACAAAAACCACACTTCATCTGTATGTGCTTTCAAGTTTAAAATATACTTCTGGAAAGTTTTAAGTGGGAAACTTTCATTTTACAAGGCTCACTCTTTCTGGCTACTAAATCGGCAAGAGATAATAATGAGTGCAAGGATGGAATCAGAGAGCTTGGGTGGTAGGCTACTGCAGTAACCTTGATGAGAAAGGATGGTCCTTTGGACCAGGGTGATAGAAGTGGAATGGTACAAAATCGTGGGGTTCTGGGCATATTTCTGAGGGTAGAGACAACCAGATTTGTTTTTCAGTACTGGAGAATAACTCTGGGTTATTCTACCACTGAGCTACATACACAGTCCTTTATTAAATCTATTTTTATTTGAAACAGGGTCTTGCTAAGATGCCCCGTAAGGCTTGAATTCACAGTCCCGCTATCTAACTAGATTTCTTAATGCACTGAGATGAAGGGTGTTTTTAAAAAAATGAGAGTCAAGGATGATGCCAAGGATTTGGCTGTCAACTGAGATCGAGAGTGCAGTAATTTGGGAAAATCAAAAATTCTCTTTTAGATACAATAAGTGAATTGTTCATTAAGTTTCCAGGTTAGAGTGGTCTAGGCTGGAGGTATCAATTTGGGAATCACAGGCTCTAGGTGACATTTAAAACCATGTATAAGATAATCATGGAGGTGAGCACAGAGAGGCCCAAAGCCTGTTGGGAACATTCCAACATGATGGGATTGGTGTGAGGCAGAGATGCTAGCAGAGACTTGAGGAGGGATGGCCGGCAGGCAGGAGGAGAACCAGGAGAGTATATTGTTCTGGAAGCCTAATGGAAAGTGTCATGGAGGAGAGAGTAATCAATTGTAGCTTGCTGCAGATGGGCCAGATAAGGATGAAATAGGACTCTTCAGTTTTGCAGAATCTCTATTCTATTGAAGTCTTACTGAGGGAACAGGGCCCAAAGGAAGAGCTTACCGGAGGTTTGTTTTTTTTAATCTTGATAGTGAAGTAGGCAATGGCGTAGACTCTTGCCATGGGTAACTGAGCAGTTGACAGGCTCCAGCTCACACGGTAGATATAGTGGAAGGAATGATCTACATCTTCCTTCCTCATAAACTCTGTGCTGTATGACCAGCCAAGATGATACTCACAAGCCTGTGTCATAGAAGAAAGAGAGAGAGGGAAAAAAATCTTACAGAGCAAGAAAGCAAAGGGGGGCTACAGCCCTGTTCTGAAGTGCTACATATTTTATTGGGATTCAAACTATAGTCAATTCCCAATTAATTACCTCCCAATGGAAGAAAAAGAAATGAAATAAGAGTAAATGCAAACATAACTTCAGCCCAGACTTTGGGTTTCAGTGGTACACCCTTAGATGTGTATATGAACGTCCGCATCATCCATATACACACACACTGTGCTCCACATCCTTACTTGGAAAGTATCTTGGTTACTTTTCTCGTTGATGAGACAAAATACCCAACATTCACAATTTAAAGGCAGAAAAGTTTATTTCAGCTCAGTTTGTAGAGGTTTCACTCCTGTTATGGTTTGGGTCTGGATGTTCCCCCAAAGCCTCATGTGGTCATGGCGGGGGAGATTTCTGGTGGTGGCGAAAGCTAGACTTTGTGATTGGTTCATTGTCCAGTGCTAGGATTGGTGGTGTGAGTGCTGCACCTGCCCTGGGGAAGGGAGCCTGCATACAGTATAAGGGAGGAGAAGAAGCCTGCTCCTGCTATCTCTTTGCTTTTGCTATCTTCTGCCACCATGACCTGTTTGTTACCCCACTGCCATGCCACACTCTACCTTGGAGCCAACTGATTATAGACTAAAACCTCTACAAACTTCAAGCTAAATAAACATTTTCATCTTTAACTTTGGGTATTGGGTATTTTGTCCCAGCAAGGAGAAAAGTAACTAAGACAACTTCATAGTCAGCTGACTCCAAGGCAGAGTGGCATGGAAGAGGAGAATCACAGAGGAGAAACAGTTCATGGTGCAACAGGCAGAAGGCAAAAAGCAGCACCTAGCCTGCCTTTCCCTTTCTCCCTTTACATTCCATACAAACTATAAGCCTATATTGATTAGTGCCACCTACACCCAGGGTAAGGCTTCCATTATCCACACCCAGAACTATGCTAAACCCATTCAGTTATCACACACCCTTAATCCATGTATCACACACATGAGATCCAGCCAGTTCCCAAAACCCCAGAATGCATGAGGCTTTGAGGAAGACATCTAGATACAAGTCACATTAGAAACAAAATGTGGTTAAGTGGAAAATAATTAGAAAGTGACTAGAAAATAGGCATGGTAGTACACGCTTGTAATCCCCACCCTCAGAAGCTGAGGCAGGAGTATCACAACAGTTTTAAGCCAGTAAAGGCTATATAGTGAGTTTGAGACCAGCCAAAACTACATGATGAGACCCTGCCTGAAAAAAACAAAAGTGGAGGGGAAAAGAAAGTGACTAGAACACGTGTTCTGTTCATCCTGCTCCAGGAAGATAGGAGACCCACAGGTGTGTCTACAAAGCAATAGGGCTGATTTCAAGCATTTGTCAAAACTGGACTCACTTCATTGCAGCCAAGGCTGGTTAGTAAGATAAGAGGAGCAATGAGTCAGGCAATAAGATAAGCCATATCCCTCTGAAAGGAATGAATCTCTGTTTGCATCTTTAGAAAAGCTTTTCCCTTTGAAAGCACGAATCTTATTAGTGGAGTCAAGAAACAAAGGAATAGTTCCTAGAGCATATTCCTGGAGTTAACAGAATACACAACTCAGGTCAACTATATTATCAGTATTCATCCAGTCTCTCCTTAATTCATGTATATTTTAACAAACTTTAGTCCTGTCTATTGTACCCAAAATATGTCTGCCATCTATCTGTCCTTCTCCAATCCCATTGCCAGTACTGTATTTCAGTTGTCAGTATTTCTTGCCTGGACTCGGGGAACAACCTCCGATCTAGATTTCATCATCTTCAACCTTGCTTCTCCACACTACCACCCACACTGAAGCCAGTTATTGTCCTTTAGCACAGCTTTGATCACATCAGCTCCACTCCAAAACCTTCAGCAGCTCCCCACTGCCTGCTGAAGAAAGTGAAAGTGTTTCACTGTGTCACTGAATACGTGTCACTGAATAAATGTTTCACTATGTCACCTAATAATACAACTTTCTACCCTCATGTCACACGTTTCCCAGCAGAAAGCTCATACTCCCATCAAACTAGAACTAGTCACTACTCCACATATATTTATTGTACATTATTTATTATTTTGGGATAGTCTCACAATGTAGCCCAATCTAGCCCTGAACTTGAAGACTCCAGTGATCCTCCTGTCTCGACATTCCAGGACTACAGGTATGCATCCCTGAACCTGATTTGTAGTATGTGTTGGACCAGACTAATGGTATTTCTTAGGAAATATCTCCCTCTCAAGTCTACTCAGTGCTTTGTAGCACTAGGATGGTCTGTAAAGATCATCTAACAAAGCACTTCATTTTTCAGATGAGACTTCTGGGGCCTAGAAGTGGGTAGACACAATCTAGCATCATACCTGGATTGGTACCTAGTACTTCTAAGCAACCAGCTCAGTGTTTTCTTCATCCCATCCTGTACCTTCCTGCTAAGAGTTTTGCCTCTTGGCTTGATTCTTGGTCTATTTTCCCTTTTGTAAATGAAGGCAGCCTTAGGTATGACATTACATCCAACTATCTTGATCAGGGCAATCTCTTCTTATTTTAATTCAATACACACAGCAGATTTTTATGTAGCACCAATGAGAGTGTATTATCTTTGAGTTTTATAGTTTTTATATGACATCACTTCATATACTCGCTTCCAAGAAACTGTGTCTCTATGCTGCTCTACAATGGTTGCTCAAAATCAGCAGGCACCTGGAAGTACATGCACAAAACTGTTACTCGTGGTAAGTTAGCTGGGAAGAATACAGAACTGGGTATTGTGGTGTGTAGGGAGAACTTTCCTTTTCTACTTTTTGCTTTTAGCTCACTACTTTTTTTTGAATAATGATATGCCTTGTTCTTGTTATAAAAATAACTTAACTGTGAATTAGACAATCAGAATTCTCCAATTTTTTTCTTCTGACGAGCCCATTTGTATATTCCTATTGTCAGACTATGTTCCAGAAGAGAACAAACAATAATTGTGTCCATTGGCAATATAAAATTACAGCCTATTACTGTCTCACAAATACACATGTTTTCTCACCCCAGGTTTAAACATTCTTATTCATATAGCAGTACCTTTCAACATTTGAATTTGAATTTTATAATTTTCATTACTAATAAAACTATCCTTTTTATCATCCAAAAATACTTTTCCTATAATGGTTGAAAGAATGTATCAGACAGAATAACTAAACCTTTATCTTACTGTTTAATTAGAGAGACTTTGGACAATCATCCAACCTCTATGATCCTTGAGCCTCCTCATATGTAAAATGGGTACAGTGATATACCTATATTTATGTTTGTTATGAGGATTAAAAGAGATCATGCATGGCAAAATGTTTCACAGTACTTGGCACATAACAATGCTCAGCAAATGGCAACTCCTAATTTACCATTCTCTGATATGCAGTAGACTTGGAGAAGTTGACAATAAGCTTGAGAGAAGCCTTCATCCGAAATGTCTTACACTTAGATGGTAGAATTCTAACTTCTAGGGCTGTGTATTAGTAGAGCTGAAAACAGGGTAATTTTCTGTCCTGAGTTACACAGAGCTTTTAGCTTTTTATCCATCTACTTTCTAATTGTCTCTGCCCTCACAACAGCCCCACAGAGTGAGACAAATGTTTTATTCTGGCTCTTCATCTGTAAGGAAATAATGATAATGAGATAATAAATCTCCTTATATATCCAAAACAGATTTATTGAGCATCTATAGCATAGCTGATAGTCCTATGTGGCCAAATACAGCACACTGAGCAAAAGTGTCTTCCCGTCATGGGCCACATGTTCTGCTGGTGGCAGGAAGGCAGATGGATAAATCAGTAGACTCTGGTGTCTTAGTAGCTGCAAAGGAAAGAATGAGTCAGAAAAGGGGGAAGGCTACAATTCTAGAAAAGGCCTCAAGTCTCTACTAACAAATGGTATTTTAACAAAGATCTGGAGAGGTGAAATGGTGAGTCCTGAAAATTAAAGTCAGGAGAGCAGCTTCTGAGCAGAGAGAAAAGCAAGCATAAAGGTTCTGGGACAGAGATACATGCAGCAGTTCAAAAACATCAGAGAAGTCAGTGTGGCTGGGGAAAGGTGGCAGGTGGGGAGAGGGCAGTGATGGCCTGAGCCATAATTTGGAAGGAAGACAGGGAACTCTGTTGACTACTGTCATTGTCCTTTACTCAGAATGGCAGGTGGGCTTTCCAGGGGCAATGTTCCCCATCTCTGTGTCCTCCTCTGTTCCGGTTCAGGAACCTTGGGTGCATCTGGCAGGACCCTTTGCCCCAACCCCTGATGGAGACTTGCTCCAGAGCAGGAAGGTCCAAGATTAACTTCTACCAGAAACCCCACCTGCTCAGGGTGTCCAGGAACCTGTAGGCATTGAAGGGCTCCTGGGAGGAATGGAAAGAGCTGAAAATTGTCCGAGGGGTGGGAGAATTTTCCTCCATTGAATTCAACTGATTTCAACCTTTTTCTTTATCTACCTGCCATTTATGTGGAGCAACCCAGGGTCTTCTCCCCAAATCTGGCAGAATAAACCACACAGAGAGGTCAGTGCCAGATACAGATTGTGGGGAAACAGAGCTGATAGGTATGTACATCTTTCCTGCGCATTACATTTCCACACTAAATAAAAAAGACCCTTGCATCCATGTCTGGTGGCACATACCTATAATCCCAGCCAGGTGTGACACAGTGAGACTGAGGCAGGAGGATCATGAGTTCCAGGTCAGCCAGGGTGACAGATTTTGTCTCAATTTTAAAAGACCTTTGATCCTGAGGGTTGGAACGTAGCTCAGTGGTAGAACATGTGCTTAACATGTGCAAGGCCCTGGGCTCTATCCCCAGCATCACACACACCCAATGATACTTGGTCCAGCCACATCCACTCTCAACATGAACACACTCAAGTTGGTAGTGAAGAGCTCCTCGTTTGGAGAAGCATCTCCCTCTTTAGGCCATGAGGCCCCCACTGCACGCATCAGCATAGCAAATAACCGGAAATATTCGTTTTTCCTAAGGAAATGTAAGGATAAGATGATACAAACACAGAGTAACACAATTATGCCTTTCACCTTCAAAGATTATCCCACCTTGAGTTTGGAACCCATATAAAGACAATGTTTGCTTATTCAAGTCACCTTTGATAGCCCCGAGGTTTTGAACCTTAAACATTTTTTTGTAGTACACCAGGACCTCACACATGTCAGGCATGTACTCTATCATGGAGCAACATCCACAGCTCTTTTTTAAATTTTATTTTTGCATAGGCTAGTCTCCAGTTTAAGATCCTCCTGCCTCAGCCTCCCAAGAAGCTGGGATTACAGCTGTGTGCAACCATACCTGACTACCTCAAACTTTTTTTTGACACAGGGTTTTGCTATATAGTTCAGGCCGGCCTTGAACTCACTATGTAGCCCAGGCTGGCCTCAAATTTGTGGCAGTCCTCCTGCCTTAGACTACTGGGCTAGAATTACAGGTGAGCACTACCATACCCAGAAGCTACCTCAAACTTTTGGCCAATCTTTTTATTTTTCCTCCTTCTCATGTACCAAATTGGAGTGGTCAACTAACTTACAGAAATGAGCTCCTGAATTTGTCTCTGGCCGTTTTCAGCTGTGAATTCACCGTGAGTGATCCACTGGATTTGCTCAGTGCAGTGTTTAATTTCTGCAAAGAAAGTGTGAATTTGTTAGTTGCCTAGTTGTGTGGTGTTACATAGAGAGACAATTCTTTAGGCAAACAAATAGGCTTACTATCTTCCAAGGACTGAGCAGCAAGCTTAATGATATCCTCAGTTACAGTCACAGCTGCATTCATCATAGTCTCGTCGTCTTTTTCTGCATCTGTCACATTCCTGTCATCTTGTGTATCCGTTGTTGTCACCGTGTGTGGAGATCTCTCATCAATAGTTACTACCCTCTGACTTTTGGACTTTGTAGTCTCATCCATTTTTTTTTTTTTTTGGCCTGGATAAAGAAATAGAATGAACTGGTTTGACTATTGTCTTCTTTGGAAGTCCTGTAATGTTTACAATGCCTAAGTTTTATTGGTCTTGTTCTCTACTGTTTTGTCCAACTTTATAATATCTAATGAGATAGACAATTCTTTTTAAGGAAACAAGGGACAACGTTGATAACCATTGTTGATAAACTTGTACTCTGTTCTACACCATGTGCTATGTCTATCCTTGGTATTGACTGACAGCTTTGTTTTGCCATATTTGACTGTATTCTCTCCCCCCCCAAAAAAAGTAATAAGCACTAAGGAGTAATAAAATCCAAAATGTGTAAATTTTGTTGTAAAAAAGAGAGGGGGAAAAAAAGAAAAAAAAAAGAAAAAGAGCTCTAATGGATATAACAGCAAGTGTGTTTAGGGGTGTTAAATAGCTGACTATATCAATGTTTTTGGATCATTGAACACAGCTGTTTGCAGTCTCCCTGTTTGAATGTCCACCTTGTATTCTTTGATACTGTGATTTGAGCAACTATTTTCAAGATGATAATATGTAATCTACTAACAGGTGATTTCTTACTGTTATGTTTTTTTTTTGTAGTTCTGTATTACGTGTACCCTTACACCGCTTTGTTTTGTTTTGTGTTTTTCTCTTTTTCCTCTTAAATAAAAAAAAAAGAAATAGAATGAGTCACTCTGCATGCATGTTTACATGCTTGGGAATATTCTCAAGTCCAGAATGCCTCCTGATATCAGATACAAGCTACAGTTGTTGCCTTCCAGGAGGAGACCTCACAGCAGGCCCTTTATACCTGGCTGCTCAGATCTACTTTTCCTGAAAATCAAGGCTGTTTACATTCTCGAAATCATGCAGGTTTAAAGAAAAATGTAGTGGGATGATTCCTAACTTCTCTGGGATTCCAGCTAGAATTCCAAATATTGATTTCTAGGTGAGTCTTTTAAAGAACCCCATGCCCTACTTTGAGCAACTAGGGACACAGGACTCTTTAAAGATAGTATATTCTCACCAGGTATGGTGGTCCACACCTGTAACTCCGGCAACTTAGGGAGGCTGAGGTAGAAATGATCACAAGTGTGAGGCCAACCCAGACACCTTAATGAAACCCTGTCTCAAAACATAAAAAGGACCCAAGATATAGCTCAGTATTCCCTGAGTTCAGTCCCCAGTACTACAAACATAAATAAATAAATAAACAAACAGAGATACTGAATTAAGAGGTTGGCGGTGTGGCTTAGTGGTAGAGCACTTGCCTATAATGTAAAAGACCTTGAACCCCAGCCCCAGGGTTGAAAAAAATAGCAAATTAAGAAGCAAGACTATTTCCCAGGATGTAGGAGGCCCTGGGATCAATCGTCAGTGCCAAAAAACTTTTCAAAAAGTAAAAATATACAACAGAGCAAGGGTTGGTGTTTCAGTTTTTCTCTTGGGTTTTCTGGGTAAGAATCTATCATTTTTAGCCAAGTGTGGTGGCACATGCTGTAATCTCAGCACTGTAGGAGGCTGACACAGGAAGATTACAAGTTCAAGTATAGCATTACTATACTTAGTGCTTTCTCTAGCTGCAAGGCACACATTTTGCTTTTATAAATGTTAGGTAAAACTGGTACAGTAAAAGTTTTTGTATTTTCCATCAATTGTATTTATCTTCTATAAACAGTATTAATTTAAATTAAAATGGTTAGTTTTTCTTTTAAGTTCAAGTTCAGTTCAGAAGCCCAGGGTTTAAGGAAGGAAAACAGAAACAGAGAGGAAGGGAAGGAGAAAAATAGAAAAGGAGGAAAGAGGGAGGGAGGGAAAGTATTATGTTTTATTATCTCTTGTCCTGAAATATAGAACTCTTATGAGCATTAGTTGTGGTAATATTTCTGGAAATTGCTAGCTAGAAGTTAAAGAATGAGCATCTTTCTTTCATGGCTGGCCTTGGTAGGCATGCTTTCTGGTGTTACACCATTAAGGATGCTGCTGCTTTATGGTTTGAGGTTTATCACATCAAGAAAACATTTGATACCAGCCATGGTGATGAATGTCTATAATCTCAGCACTCAGGAGGCTGAGACAGGAGGATCACTGGGAGTTCAAGACCAGCCTGGGCTGAGTTCAAGGCCAGCCTGGAGTACATAGCTACATACTCTGTCTCAAAAAAAAAAATTTAAGTGCTCTAGTTCTAGCAAGGCTTATCATAAATTATAGCTAAAATTTTCCAGATGTAGCCCAGGATTCAGCTCAGCAGCATAAGCACCTGCCTTGAAAGCACGAAGTTGTGAGTTTGATCCCCGGTATCACCACAAAAAAAAAAAAATTTCCAGATGTCTTCAGCAACTGTTGGGAATATGAAAATCAGAGTGAACACATGTGCATCACAGAACTAAGAGTCTTTGCACATTTTCAGTCTGTTTTCCATCTTTTCCCTTGAGTCTTGGATTCTACTTCATTCTCTGCTGTTCATAAGTCTTTTCACTTTTGAGAAACTCTTTACTTTCAGCACACTTGTAAATTCTTTACAGACAATCCTTGCACTGGGTTGTCCTATGACAGTGGATGGCTCTCCAAAGGGAGCTATTTTTTTTCTATAAATAACAGCTCCTCATTTGGGGGTGCCCATTGTGCTGCATTTCATTTATCTATTACCAAAGCTCCATGAGACTGCTACTGGACACCTTCCGTTCACCCTGCCACACTCCCTCCCTTTGTAGCTCTGTCACTGCACTGGAAGGCTGGAAAGCCAGCCTGGATAAGCCACGCAAACGGGCTCTCTAGTGCCCTCTGGCTTTCAAGAGGTTACACACAACAGGGAGACCAGGCTGACAGAACAGCGTGCTTGCTAACTCCACACCTTCACGGTCACCTGTGGCTGTCTGTTTAGAGAAGGCTCCAGCTTCTTTCCAGGACCTTGTCCCCTACAACATCTCAGTCTGGGAGGAGTAACCATTCCTGCCCTTTGACCCCCACTGGACTGCACTGTAACCAGAGCCAGGAGGCTCTGCATTGTTTCCTGTACTCTGGCCACACCTCTGTACATATTCCCTTTACCTACTAGCCTACTTTTAATGTGCAAACAGTTTCCTTTGGGGACCTGGAGTCACAAACAGAGAGATTCTTATTACCGTGTGAAAATAAGGAGCTACACACCCAGACAGTCTGGCCCATAGTTCATGCTCTTAACTACAATGCTGGTCCAAGATGCAAAAAGGGAAACGGAGCCCTGTTCTCATATTTGCATATGGAGTCTGGAATGCACTCAGCCTATTTCTGTGAGCCTCTTTCACTGAAAGGCAACTTTCACTCCCTTTCTCAACATCATCACTGGGCCCAAAGGCTGTTTGTTGGATACTGCACAAGGCAGCCCAGTTCCCATAGCCTTCGATCCAAGAATAATTGGAACAGCTTTTAAAATTCCTCTAATATTGACCAGCACTCACTCAGGCCCTGATATTATTTAAGCTCAGTCTGCCTCTGCCTCAGTTTGCTCTTGCCATAGCTAGTGGATAGACAGGAGTATCTGCTATGGGGAATGGAGTCTTTCTAGGCTGCCCATTCTAGAGCAGGAAGGAGCTAAAGGCTAGGAGGTGAATGGAGCTAAAGACCCTTAACATTAGGAAACTGGCCATGTTAATTTAGCCATAGCCAAACTATCAACTCCTCAGTGAAGGGCAGCTGCACAAGAGGTTTATGTAAACTGTTCAGCTGGGTAGGCTTCAGTGAGTTAGTCATACTGGATCTTGTGGTGAATGGCCCATTTGGTGACTTGATCATTTAGTGGGTTAGCTTTCAGCAACTGACTAGAAGCCAAATCCATAACCTCCAACACCAAGCAAAAGAGCTAGGGGCTTTACATATGAAATGATCAGTGTAAGACCTTCCCTAGGGAGCTCTGTGCCCCAGTAGGAGGGGCCAGGTGGAGAGTAGGGCCCAGGAAGAAGCCCAGGTCTTATCCTCACATGGAATGTCCCTCCTGCTGGTCTCTTCTAGTTCATTTTCTTCCCTTCCCTTCTTATAAGAGGGCACACTGGGTGAGGAGAAGGGGGCATAGTCAAGTTTGGGGTCTAGGTGATGAATAGGGAGAACCACTACAGGTCCTTTTGTGGACACCCCAACCCTTAAGCAACCCTGATACCTGAGGAGGAGATCCTTGTTTGAAATACTAGCAGCGCTAGCTGAAGAAGCCTCCAAGTCTCTCAGCAGCCTTTCTCCAAGACTCCCAGACAGAATGTTTACAAATGCTGCCAGGACAACAGCAATTTCAACCAATGGGGAACAAAGCCTACATGTTCCCGACTGCTCCTGTTAATAAAAGAGAGGATAAAAGGAGAGTGGAAGTGGGGGAAGGAGGGGCTGGTCACAACCTCCATCTGAGCTTGAGAATAGGACTAAGGTGCACAATTATAATGTAAGGGCACACTTACAAAATAGCAAACTTACAACTATTTCATAGTAAAAGCCTGACCCTCCCAGTGTGTACCTGCAGGCCCATCTCCTGCTGTGACTATGCTCCTTGTCACATAGCTAGCCTACTAATTTCAGTCAGCCTTGACTATCTGGGTCCAGCTGCTTTTCTTCTGATAATGCACTGGGCCAATATAACTATTTTCAGCTTTTGTTTTCCTTAATTAAGAAAAGATATTGCTTGCAATTGCCTTCAAGGACTTGGGTTGAGGGCTAAGTAACCCAGTCAAAGATACTTTTTAACTGTTTGAACCCCCTCCCCTCATTTCCAGGATGTTCCTATGTTATGACAAAAAATTCTTTTTAAGAAAATGTATTTAGAGTTTGTTTACCTGACACACTGATTTAATTCAATCTATGTAACCAATCATGTAATATCGTGTACTTACTGTTTGCAAACTGTATTTAAACTGAACCCAAAACTGCCTCAGTGCTAATGATTTGGAACTGAGATTCCCACCAATCCACTAGGATAATGAACAGTTGTCTTTTAACTCCTTGGAGCAAAAGTCTTCCATTCAGTTTGATATTGGTTTTTCTGTAACAAGATAAATACTTCTCAGATGAAGAAATGCAAACAGCAAATAAATATATGAAAAAATGTTCAACATCACTGGTCATTCACGAGATGCAGATTCAAATAATACTGAGATTCCTTCTCAGACCACAAAGAATGGTAATTATCAAGAAATCAACCAATAACAAATGCTGGAAGGGCTGTGGGCCAGTCCATAGCCACAGTGACAGCAGGGTGCTCTTATAGGCATGGGATGGGGGGGCAGGGGTTTAGCTCAGCAGTTTAAGTGCCTGCTTGGCAAATGCGAGGTTGTGAGTTCAATCCCCGGCACCAATAAATAAATAAATAAAATTAAGATTTTAATGGACTGGAGATTTAGCTCAGTGGCATAAGCGCCTGCCTGGCAAGTGTGAGGTGAGTTCAATCCTCAGTAACAAAAAAAAAAAAAAAAAAAAAAAGACACATCGTGGGATGAGAACTTCTGAGTTTCCCTACCCTGGAGACCTTAACAACTCTATCCATATATTAAATTCTTAGAGGTGAAGGCAGGTGGCACACAGCAGGAAAGACACAGTATACCAAAGAAACTCTCAACTATGTGGAAAATGCTTGTGTTTTCTTGGGGGAAGTGATGTTCATTGTTTTCAACGTCTTCTTTACTTTCTGTCTGTTCCCTTTGGGATTACAGTTTTTTGGGATCATAATCAAAACTGCATACTTGCTTGTAAACTTTATTACCTGATTCTCACCAGCCCAAATATAATTGATCTCTTCAGTTTTCTGGCATGAGGAAAGTTCCTAATAAGATACAAATCAACAGATGGTAAGAAATGGTTCAGACAAAAAGGAAAATTGTCAGGTCTCCGAACTACACCCAGCTACAGCTCTTCCTGACTGCCCATTATACTGCTGTCCCACAGGAATCCAAAGCCGACCTGTAGCAAGAACCAAAAATCATCACGGTGCTAGCACTCTATACCCTCGCCCAGATTTGATACCCTGTCATGTTGCCACCATCCCAGCCCCTCTCTCCCTTCATTTTTTTCTGTCTCTCTTTTTTAGGATGCCCACACAACCCCCAGTCACACCTGAAGAAGTTCTGGGAAAATACACCCCTTACCCTTCTTCGTTTCCCATAACACAACAGACAGGAATGTCAGGTCTCTGAACTAGACCCCCACCCAGTTAAGAGAAAAAACCTCCCCAAGCAGACCTCTCATTTACATCTGCAGCAGCATGGTGTTCAACAGGAAGCCAGCAGCTTCCCCACGCAGCTCAACTGGCTAGCAGCTACTCCACACAGCTCAACCTGCAGAGAGCTGATTTCATGAAAAACCACAAGAGATATGCTATGCCTGCTAGCACCCTCCTGTACCCAACACCATCCTGTCTGTCTAGCACTAGGGCCCTTATTCAGAAACTCAAAATTCTTGTACCCTCCTCAGTAATGACTCTCTTCCCTACCTAAACTCTCCTATAAAACATGCCTTCGCCCCTTGCTTGGGGCCAATGGTCTTTTCACCCTTGGCCCAGCCACATCTGGTCTGCAATAAAGTTCTCACACACTGTTTAAACTCTGCCTGTCTTGATGGTCTCAACTGTGCCTCAGTTTACTCTGACAGGGACTTACACAGTTTTATACAAGTAAGAATTACTGGCCTATTTTTTAAATGATGCCCTGAAAAAATAGAACAAGTATGTCTCTATTTTTTTGAGACATGGTCTTGCTATGCAGTTCCAGATATCCTTGAACTCACTATAAAGTACAGGTTGGCCTCAAACTTGCAGTGATGCTCCTGTCTCAGCCTCCAGAGGGCTGTACTTACGGGCATGCACTACCACACCTGACAATATGTCTCTAATTTTGAATCAAGATTCATGCAAATTCCAAAAACAATGATTTAGGGCTTCATTACAGAAGAGCCTTATGGGACGGAGGAAGATGTATTATAGCCAGCAGCATGAGACATAAAGGGTACACAAACATGTCAAATAAATCCTTAACCATTAAAGGTTATAAAGGGTTAATGGTATTCCTCAGCAGTAGAGTGTTTGCCTGAATATGCAAGTCATAGGTTCCATCTCTACCACCACAAAAAAAATTTATACCAACATAGCATAGGATTTATTCTTCACAGGAATTTCCCTCGGGCTTTTATTGAAAAGTGCCTCACAGCTCAGTGTGGTGTCACACACCTCTAATCCTAGCTACTCAGGAGCTGAGGCAGGAGGATCACAAGTTTGAGGCCAGCCTAGGTATCTTAGTGAAACTCTGTCTCAAAATTGTAAAAAAAATTGTAAGGGGATGGGATGTAGCATTTCCCTTCCACACATGACGTTCTGGGTTCCATCCCCACTGAAAATAAAAAAAATATATATATCTAAGTGTGTAAGTTACAAGAATAGTGTCATTCCTAGTGTACTGTCAGCTACAAAGGTCTGCTTCAGTTTCCATTAAAGCAAAGTAAGAACACATCCCAAAAGAATATTCCAGAGTATATAAACATCGGATATACAAGTGGTCAGGAGGGTATACAGGGATGGGGGGTAGCCTCACAGACACATGCAGATTCATCAAAAAGCTAACTATTCTTCTTTTTAGATATCTACAATTTGCTTCTACATATTTGGTAGAAACAAAGCCCTATAATTGTTCCAAAGGTCTTCTTTCTCACAAAAGTATGGTAGAATAATTTGCTTTCTTATTTCCCAAAAATAGTCAAGAGATTTGGAATCTCAAAAGCCAAGTGAGCCGGGGATTTAGCTTAGTGGCACAAGCACTTGCATGACACATGCAAGGTCGTGAGTTCAATCCCTAGTACCAAAAAAAAAAGAAGCCAAGTGCTATTTCACTCTCAACCCCACCCCTTACCCTCATCTAAAAGCTTCATGGTGAGGATGGCTGGCTTCAAGCCCATCCACACTGTTCTTTCCTTTCCAACAGAGCAAGGAACAAGAACTAAGAAGAAAAATGGCATTAAGGTATGTTGTATTGCACTTTGGTTTTGTGTTTTGTTTTGTTTCGTCTTGACAGGGTCTTACTGTTTAGTTCAGGATGGCTTTGAACTCACTATGTAGCCCAGGCTGTCTCACCATTTACAGCAATCCTTCTGCTTCAGCCTGCTGAGTGCCGAGATTACAGGTGTGCCCCACCACACGCAGCTTAAACCACATTTTTTAAAAAAAGTCTGCTTTCATAAAATTCCTTCAGAACAGTGTCTTCATTGAAGTTCCTACTATCTATTATCTTTGCAGCACTGAGATTCCCTCACCATACCAACAAGGAACCAGAGATCAGGCCTAAGGGTCTTGCCAACACCACATTTCTGTAAACACCTTCAGGGGACCTAGGTGGGCTGGAGAACTGTTACAGGAATGCTCACAGTCAACGATCCCTTCATGAGGCTGTATACTTACAGACTACGTTGAGTGCATCAATCCACAAGCTTGTAACTGATACCCACTGGCCTCATTTGAGAGATGGCACAACTGAGGCTCACAGCAAGTGGCCTGACCTATTGGAGGTCTCACAAGGTGCAGGTGGTAGGGCCTTCCTGTGCTGTCTCTCAACATCTGGGGGAAGGGAACTATTGGAAAGTTTGCCATGAGGGATGAAGGATAGATGACCACTGTAGGAGGTTTAGAAGCATTGCCTCTGGCTTGTACCCACTATTGTTAGCAACCTCTCCTTTTGTGACAAGGAAGAAAACTTTTTAGCCTGAAGGGCAAAATGTTCCCATTGAAAAGCACTGCTTGAAATCTCTATGCTGAGCAGCCAGGAAGATGTAAACAAGTCACATCCCTGGCCCACATCCTACTGTGAGAGGGAGACAAGGCCCTTCCTGTGGCAGGCCCTGCAGACCTCCCCACCTCCCAGCTCTCCTGTTCTCCTCGCTTTGCACTTTTCTTTGGTACCAGAAATCAAACTAAAAAAGAACAGATTTAGTGATAGACATAGTAAAGTTGCCAGTTGTCTATACCCACAACTCCCTATCTGTTCTACCTGCCGTCTTTCTTCCTTTCTAGCAATTCTGGTAAGTCACTTAATTGAGGCCTGTGAGGTACTGACTAGTGTCCTATTAATTTTGTAATCACAATGAAGGCTTTCCTGGTCACTGCCACATATAGACACAGTAGCACAATACAGACCTACTCTAGATATGAATGCCATCTTCTTCTTGTAAATCCTGCCCTATAAAATGAAGTTAGTAGAAGTTATACAGGAGAGGTAGGTTTAAGATCATCATTAGATCAGATGTTAGAATGGATAAAGATCAAGATGAATGGTTTAGCAGGATAGGGATGTAACTCAAAGCACTTGCCTAGCAAAGGAAAGGCCCTGGGTTTGAGCACTAGAAAAAAAATAGAATTTTGTGTTATCACCTAGGATTCCTGATGTCACCTGTAATGTTACCGGATATACACAGAAGAGCATCATCTTTCTTTAATTTGGCAGTACAGGGGATTGAACCCATGGCCACACACATGTAGCAGATGCTCTAGCCACATCCCCAACCCCAAGATAGCAGCATCTTTACAGTAGATCTTTTCAAATCTCCATACTAGTTGTTTTAATGTTAAAAATATAACTCATATTTAAAATGGTCATTTCTTCGCAGGCTAGGGGTTAAACCCAGGGTACTTTCCTACCACTGAGCTACACCTGAGACAGGCCCACACTGGCTTCCAACTTTCAATCCTTCTGCCTTGGCCTCCTGAATAGGTGGGATTACAGGCATGTACCACTGAACCTAGTAGTACACTCATTTTAATAAACAAATGACTGCTGATGCTATTCCATCCTAAAACAAAAATCAATGCGAAGTATATACTGTACTGTCAGGTACACTGTCTGTGTGTATATTCACACAGAATATATGAAAATTGCAAATAGTCTCCATATTAAGTGCTCTAACTGGAATTTTTCTTTTATTTGTTTTTGACATACTGGGAACAGAATAGAGCCTTGTATAGTCTAGGCAACATTTCCCTACTGAGCTATATCTTTAATACCCTATAGTTAGAATTTTAAATACTGTAGGACCCAACCAGAAAAGGAACTGAGAAAAAAAAATACTTTTTGGGGGCTTGGGATTTAGTTCAGTGGGATAAACACCCGCCTGACACGAGTTGGGTTCCAACGAGTGAGTTTGATCCCTGGTACAAAAAAAAAAAAAAAAAACCCTTTTTTTCTGTATTTTCCCAGTAACCTCTGAAGAAATTTTAGTTAGCCTCTTTTTCCCCCCCTTTTTGTTAATTAGTATATGTTTGTAATATATAGTAATTATATTCATTTTGGGAAATTAGTATTTTGATCATCATTTTATTTCTTCCCTTCCCTACTCCCTTTTCCCCTCTTTCCTAGCTCCCCTTCCAAGCATTTTCTATGCTTTCCTTTGGTTTACTATTTATTTATAGATTGGGTTTCTCATGTAAGAAAAACTATACAATTTTTAATTTTCTGTGTCTGATTTATTTCCCTTAACATACAATCTCAGGATCCATCCATTTTCCTACAACGACTGATGATTATAATATAGTTTATGAAGTGGTAAGCATGAAAATCAGTGCTTGGTATTTATTATGTCTATAATTTCACAAGTTTTGGTTGCCTTCTATTTTTTTAAGTAATAAAGCTACATTGGGTAGATTGTTTGATTTTGTATATTTTAAAGAAAGAAATGCCTTTTACTTTTAATTTTGTTTTTATTAAGCATTGCATAACACATCACATTGGGTAGATTGTTTGATTTTGTATATTTTAAAGAAAGAAATGCCTTTTACTTTTAATTTTGTTTTTATTAAGCATTGCATAACACATCAAAATACACGCTACATAATACACTGCTTAAACTTCCAGCAATTAATGACCATAACTGTGCTATTTTTTCATCAATCAGGAAAACGCTTCCTTTAATCGATGTTCTCCAAACCCTGAAAAACAGTTTAGAAAAAAGGATGTAAGAATTCTGCTCCCATCAAAGATGTACCATGTACTTTATTTCCAGTGTTATGGACTAGCATTTTCCAGCATTAAATCAAATGTTTTCACATTTCAAATTTCTCTAACTGCAACAATACAGAGATGAATTGGATTGTTTTATAATCACTAAAGAGAAACTTGTAATGATTTGTATTCCTTATTTTCTGGCAGCAGCAAACATACTAATTTATATGAAAAGACTCTTCTGTCACCCTAATCAGAACTCAAGTCAAACAACTTGATTTACTTGGATCCTTAAACAAAGAACTCTCCGTGAGTCAGAAGATAGTAAGTTAAAATCTGTTTCAAAAAATAACAGCCAACATGTGGTAGACACTATTATTCTCATTCCACTTTTCTTTAAATGAGGAAATGCTCAGGTTAACAATGACTGGCTTAAGTCTCTAAGGAGTATAAGAGCTGGACCCCAACTCAAAAACCCTTGCCCTGTAAGCACTACACTATTTTTTGAAAGATCTATTTATTGTACTCAGTTCACGTGCAAATACTTCAGAATCTATAAATTAAGAAGATTAATCAATGACATTTCTTCTAGATACTAAAATAAACGATTGAGTATTCTGTTTATTCCTTCAAGAAGAACTGCCTTGAGAGGTTAAAACTACTTATTGTTAGGAACTACCTTTTAGAAATTTAAATTCTATTCCACGTGCCAAGTGATCTTGATGAGTTATTCAACTATACTTTGAGAAACAGGGCTTCAGATAAAAGAGACACAGGTGTCCCCTCTGAGCTCCAGAGACAGGTTCCCAAATCCCAAGTGGATGCCTGAAACCTCAAGTACTACCAAGCACTTTATATATTATTTTTAGGGCCAGGGATTTAGCTCAGTGGCACAAGTGCTTGCCTGGTAAGTGCGAGGTCCTGAGTTTGATCCTCGGTACCAAAAAAAAAGAAAGAAAGAAAAAGAAATAATAATAAAAGTATAAATTTTTTCTGTATGTTTCTATGATAAAGTATAATTTATAAATCAGACATAGAAGTTAACAATAACAATAAAATTTTTAAAATGGTAATACACAAGTTACTTAATATTTAAGAAGTATTTCTGGAGTTTTCCATTTAGTATTTTCAGACGACAGTTGAGAATGGGAACTATAAAAGCACATTAAGACGTAAAAGGCTGTAGACAAAAAATGCAAATTATATTAGCACTGTATGACCTATGGCAAGGCACTACTACAAACCCAAACCCTTGCAGATGGCTAGCATTACTGTCATCTTACCTTAGACACATAGTAACGATTAACTCCAGAGATGCGCCTATCTCTTTCCATCATACTCCACTGATATGGAAAATTGACGACTCTTTTTTCCTTCAAACAGAAGACAAACATTATTTTAGTTTAAACAGATGGATCTTTCTACTTTCAAGAAATGACGCACTAGAAACACAATCATTACTGAAATAAAAGCAAAATTAACAACATAAGACCAGAACCTCCTATATAAAATCAGACCACTACAATTTAATTGGAACCTCGACTCGACATCACCAATGCTTTTCTCTATCCCTCCTTCCCCAGAAATGTCTACTTGTTGCCTTTTGGGACCCTCAAAAAACAACACAGGTTAGCTCACATATAAAGGACAAACAAAAAATCAAAAAGCCAATCAATCTATATTCTGATTATACTCTAGAAATGTGAAGGACTTGGAAGGGGGCATTATGAAAATGCTAACGTGACTTCCTAAAGGCTTGCAAAACAAAGTGGACATAAAAGAAGTCATGGAGGAAACCTACTTAAGGATAGGAAAGAGAAGAAACGACAAAGCCAAGGATGTAACAAATGAAAACCAAAATAGACAAGGTGACCAGTCTGTGGCGAAAGGTGTAGGGCCACCACTAACGCCTTTCCCCTCTGTTTAGGGATCTGGCCGCTCATTCAACCTACTTTTCCAGTTTCCGAATTCTACTCTGTCCGAGGGCCCACTCTTCTCCACCAAAAAACTAGGTGCTTCTACCAAAAGCCAGGATGTGAACTCTGCAAGCTTCCACTTTCAGCAACATGAAGAAAGAGAGCTGTTCTCTGTGTTTACAGCCTCAGACAGAGGTTAAAAGCAACCTAATGACCTCCCTACCCCAAGGCCGTTTCAGGAATGTCAGTCTTTGCAGTTTGCTGGGAGAGGCCGCCTTACCTTGCCCCCGAAGGAGAACCTGTGGAGGTATGCAGTGGCCACTCCGGGAATGAGCAAGCACACGCCCATGATGCCAAGTCCAGGAAGAATCTCGAACCACATCTCGGAATGGTTAGCCTAATGCCCCGGCACTCTCAAAGGTGACCGGGCTTCAGCTTCTTTCCCGGCATGCTCCGCAGCAGTGCCCAAGTGGGTGGCACCACATACACGTCCGAAGGAAGTTACGGAGTCTCCTAGGGCTCAAAACTGGTTGGCGCTCCCTCTCTCGCAATCGTTCTGGTGTTACTTCGTTCTTTTGCTCCGACTTGCTGCAGAGCGCGCAGCGTGCAGTTACAGGCAGAGGCTGGCGCGGTTCTCTACACCACCGCAGTTTCAGAGCTCGGGACTCTAAAATGGCAGAGGAGGTTTCTCCAGGAAAGTCGGCAGACCAAGTATGCACCTTCCTCTTCAAAAAGCCTGGGCGGAAAGGGGCTGCAGGCCGCAGAAAGCGACCGGTGTGCGACCCAGAGCCCGGAGAAAGCGGCAGCAGCAGTGACGAAGGCAACACTGTGGTCCGACCGGAGAAAAAGCGGGCAATCCACAATCCAATGATACAGAGGACTCGAGGCAGCATTAATAAGAGGGCGGCCTACGGCGATTTGAGCAGCGAGGAAGAGGAGGAAGAGAAAGAGCCGGAGAGTCTCGGCGTGGTCTACAAATCCACCCGCTCGGCGAAACCTGTGGGGCCGGAGGATATGGGGGCGACAGCTGTCTACGAGCTAGATACAGAGAAGGAACGGGATGCACAAGCCATTTTCGAGCGCAGCCAGAAGATCCAGGAGGAGCTGAGGGGCAAGGAAGATGATAAGATCTATCGGGGAATCAATAATTATCAGAAATACATGAAACCCAAAGATACATCTATGGGCAACGCTTCTTCTGGGATGGTGAGGAAGGGCCCCATTCGAGCGCCTGAGCATCTACGGGCCACAGTGCGCTGGGATTACCAGCCTGACATCTGTAAGGACTACAAGGAGACGGGCTTCTGCGGCTTTGGAGACAGCTGCAAATTCCTCCATGACCGTTCAGACTACAAGCACGGGTGGCAGATTGAACGTGAGCTTGACGAGGGTCGCTATGGTGTCTATGAGGATGAAAACTACGAAGTGGGAAGTGATGATGAGGAAATACCATTCAAGTGCTTCATCTGTCGCCAGACCTTCCAAAACCCAGTTGTCACCAAGTGCAGGCATTATTTCTGCGAGAGCTGTGCATTGCAGCATTTCCGCACCACCTCTCGCTGCTATGTCTGTGACCAGCAGACCAATGGCGTCTTTAATCCAGCGAAAGAATTGATTGCTAAACTGGGAAAGCATCGAGATGCTGCAGAGGGTGGTGCTTCCGATTTCCCAGAAGACCCTGATGAGGCTCCAATTCCCATTACTTAGGTTTTCCATAAATCTAAAGTCTCTAAATAAATATTTTGTTGTTCTTTTGAAAAATCTGAATTTATGTCCTTTCTTTTTAGGAAAAATGACAGAGAAGGCAGATAGTGAAGGAGGATCCTGGGTTAAAAGCTTCACGGTGGTGTTATCTGGATGTCTCTCCCAGGGATAAACACTTGGACTGTGTGTCTTTTCAGGACCTTTTAACATAAATTATGGGAATGGGAAAAGTGCAACAAAAGAGCTTTAATTTACTTGAAGTGACCAAAGCTGTAAAGAATGTAAGAACTTAACCCATTTATTGTGTCTTATTTCGGTACACTTAATAGTTTTCAGAGTATTTTGTTGCATTATCTGACTTGTGAGCTAGGACTCACTTTGAAATACGTACCAGCCAAGGTATTGTGGGGAACGGGTAGCTAGCACCACACCACCACTTCCATGGATGATGGAAGTATTTTGTGCTGCCCTGTATGCTGCCTCATGTGGCTACTGAATGCTTGAATGTGGCTAGTAGCCACCCTATTGAACACTGCAGTTTTAGATGGAATTTATAAACTGTAAAAGGGTAAAACCTAGTAGGTTTTGGGTTTTTTTGTTTTGTTTTTTCTGTTGGTACTGCAAATTGAATCCTCCCAAGCCCTTTTTCTGTTTATTGTTTTTTTTTTTTTTTTTTTTTTTTTTTTTTTTTTTTTTTATTGAGGCAGGGTCTTGCTAAATTGATAAATTGCACAGATTGAGCTTGAACTTGTAGCTCTCCACTAGTGCTGGAACTACAGACATGGGCCACCATCCCTGGCCAAAAACCTAACATTTTTTAATAGTTTTAGATTAAAAACTATCGGTGTTGTCACAGACCCTCTAATAAATCTAATCATACCTTATTAAAGTTAGTCAACATACCTGTCTTCCTAACTAGTTTGTGGATTCGGTGACTAAGCTAGTGCTTCACATATAGTACACATTCATTTATAGTACACTTCATATATAGTACAAATAAGACCAGGGAGTTTAAGAAGGGAAATTGGTGTGATATGTACATGTACCTGTTCCCCACAATGAATGTATTTATTATGTATTGCAAACATAAAAGAAGGTGGAGGGGACTGGTGCAGGCAAGACTGGACCCTGTTTCCAAAAAAAAAAAAAAAAACAAAGCCTCAAATCTAAGCTAAAGAGCTTCTGAGTATTCTGAAAGAAGTGGAGGCATAGCAGAGGTTTGGACAAGGGAACACAGTCACACTCGGTCTTTTTAATGTTACTGACATTGCAGTTGTAGGATGAGTTTTGGATATGAAAGATGAGGTAGGGAAGACAGGCTAAGGAGTTAGTAAATTTTTATTGATAAGAATTTGGGGATGGGCATGGTGGTGCACATCTGTAATCCCAACACTCAGGAGGCTGAGGCAGGAGGATTGCTGTGAGTTTGAAGCCAGCCTGGACTACATAGTTCAAGGCCTGCCTTAATTATGGGTGAGACCCTGTCTCAAAAAACTTTAAAAATTGGGGGCTTGGGGATGTAGCTAAATGGTAGTGTGCTTGCCTAGCATGCTTGAGGTTCTGGCTTTTATACCCAGTGCCACCAAAGGTAAAATTAAAATTCTTGGAGCTAATACCAGGAAATAAATGCAAGGATACATTGGGTTAAGGTGCTTTTTATTCACATGCATGAATATTTCAAGTTAGTCTTTGGTCAGCTAATCTCAAACACTGCTTGGCACAAGGGATATCAGCAGAGAATCAGATAGCCCCTGGCCTCAAGGAGCTGGACCTTAAATAATCACAAGTACAGTGAGTTCAAGAAGAGAGTGCACTGGGTTGATCCGTGATGATTCACCCAACCCCAACCTAGGAGTTCGGAGAAGAGCTCACATGATAGAATGTGATACATTCTATAAAAGAATATGAAATATGGGATACATGAAAAATGTGCTAGGAAAAGAACTTAAGCATCAAATAAGAAACAACATTTAAAAAGTGAGGAAGAAACAGAATAGGGAACAGGAAAGTGAATACTGTAGAGGTGGATGGAGAAGCAGGAGAGTAAACTTATACATGACAAATGAGAAGAAAAGTCATAAAAAAATATGGCAATGAGGGGCAGGGGATTTGGTTCAGTGGCTCAAGTGCTTGCCTAGTAAGCATGAGGTCATGAGTTTGATCCCCAGTACCTCCCCCCCAAAAAACCATGGCAATGGTTGACAAAAGTGCTCATTTTTAAACTATCCTTGAGTATACTTTAAAATTTTAAAAATAAAATTTATTCAAAACTAAAATAAAGCTTTATGGGAAAAGATATACTTTGAATCTTCACCTACTATAAAAGCTGAAGGAAAAGATCTAGGAAAAATACAGAAGATAAAATAGAAGGAATTGCTGCTGATGACTAATTGAGAAGGGATAGAAGAACACCAAAGAACAGAAATCAAATTCATCTTAAAGAGCTGAGAAAAAAAGTGGAAAAATAGGACATTTGTTTCCTGTTCCACATGTTTTTAAATAAGCTGTAAATCTTGAAAGACTAAAAAATACGTGCAGATGGGTATTATTCTTGGGACAAAGAATTCAGTAGATTTTTAAAAGACCATTTTCAGTCAGTGGTGTACTCAAAGTATTTTTCATGTTTATAAGCTATTACTACATTTTTTAAAAAAATTAGAAATATTTTATCACCTTTAAATGGTGCAACTTCATTTCATAAGTGGAAATGAAATAGTTGTTTTTACAGATTAAAAATACTAGGTCGGGTGTGGTATCACAAACCTGCAATCCCAGCATTTCGGTGGCTGAGGCAGGAAGATTGCTGCAAGTTCAAGGCCAGCCTCAGCTACAAAGTCAGCTCCAGGCCAGTCTGAACTGCATAGTGAAACCCTGTCTCAAAACGATTTTTTTAAAAAACCACTAAGTACGGGGTGGGCAGAGCAAGCATCCTAGCAACCAGCAAAGATGAAGCCAGCTGGACTTCTAAAGAGTTAACTGGGTGGAGGAAAGGAGCCTCAAACTGACACCTGAAAGATGAGTGGGAAAGTGTATTACGGGTGGCGCGACAAGTATTCTGCTAAAACCCTGATCTAAGAAATTGGCTCTAGGGGCTGGGGATTTAGCTTAGCGGCATAAGCGCCTGCCTTGCAAGCAGGCAGTCGTGAGTTTGATCCCCGATACCGATAAAAATGAAAAAGACAAAAAAAAAAATTGGCTCCAGCTAAGAACTCAAAGCAGTCCAGCTTTGCACAGTTTATTTAAAGGGCAAAGAGACAACATCAAAATCTTTGTTCTGTTTTGTTTTGTTTGGTTTTGAGACAATGTCTTGATGTGTAGCTTAGGCTGGCCTCAAACTAGTGGCAGTCCAGCCATGCCTCCCAGGCATGTGCCACCACACCCAGAACTCCAAGGATTTTAAGAAGGAAAGTGAGATGATCTTATCTGAACTCCTGACAGATAATCTTGCAGTGAGGTGAATGTCCTGAAGGGAAGCAGACAGCAGACCAGGAATTCGGCTGGGAGGCTGGTGCCGCAGCCCAGAGGACAGACTGGTGACTGTGCACCTCCATTTAGTACATGTGTTGTGAGCACCCACTACAGGAAAGGCATTAACCTAAACACAGGATATATAACCATGGCAAAAGCACACAAATTCCTGCTCTTTTTTTTTTTAAGTTTCTTTTTTTTTTTTACTTTTTCGTTTTTATCGGTACCAGGGATCGAACTCACGACCGCCAGGGATCACGACCGCCAGGGATCGAACTCACGACCGCCAGGGATCGAACTCACGACCGC